TCGAACTCAGGACCCTGTGCTTGCCAGGCAGGCCCTTACACCACTGAGCTATATCCCCTGGTCCATGGCCTTGAATTCTTTCTTTTTTTTTTTTTCTGGTACCATGAATCGAACTCACGACCTCGTGCCTGACAGGCAGGCGCTGTGCTGCTGAGCTAAATCCCCAGCCCCAATGGCCTTGAATTCTTGACGATGCTCCAGACTCAGCTTCTGGAGTTCTGGGATCCTAGGTGCGTGCCACCACACCTGGTTTCAAAATGAAATTTAGAAAGGGCTGGGGATGTAGCTTAGTGCTCCCTGTGTTCAGTTCCCAGTAGGACAAAAATAAATATGTATTTAAAATTCAGTATCATTAAATCAGACTTTTAAAAATACCAGCTATACTGTTTGCAAGCAACACACTAAAATATATGGCTATAAGGAGGATATCAGGCAAATAACGGCCAAAACAGAAGTCTCGCAGGGTGTGGTAGCACAGACCTGTAATTGCAGCACTTGAGAGGCTGAGGTAGGAGGATTGCAGTGGGTTTGGGGCCAGTCTGGGCTATATAGTGAGTTTAAGGGCAGCCTGAACTACATAGTGAGACCCTGCCTCAGAAACAACCACAACATGGGGCTAGGGATTTAGCTCAGTGGTACAGCGCCTGCCTGGCAAGTGCAAGGTCGTGAGTTCGATTCCCAGTACCGGAAAAAAATAAATAAATAAATAAAATAAAGTGGATGTGCAAAGGTCCTGGGTTCGATCCCCAGGGGAGGGGAGGAGAGGGGAGGGGAGCCGGAGACGAGACAGAGAACCAAGAGCACAGCAGAGGGCAGTGGTAAACAAGTGGGCCAAGGCCTGACAGGTGGCAAATGCAGGAGGCTTGGAGTCTTGAAGGAAGTGTTTGGGGGCACCACGAGTAGACGGGGTGAGCGGTGCATTCCCAGCCGGAGGCAGGGAGACCGTGCAGTAAGTTTGCTCCGGGCCATGTGCCTTGAAACCAGAGGCACAGGGCCTGGGCCGGAAGCCGGTGCTGAGGACCCTGTGCTCTACCCCAAGGACCCCTCGCGCCCCAACCCAAGCTCCAGCCCTGGTCGCCTGAGGCGTGGGGGCGTGGCTGGGGGCGTGGCCGGGCCGTGGCCGGGGCGTGGCCGGGGCGTGCCGGCGCCGATCTCCACACACCCCCAGCCCCTCCACCGCTCACCTCCCGGGGTCGTTAGCGGTCCCCGGTTGAGGTCCCCTCCAGGGTCAGCCCCACCTGGGCGAAGAAGGACGCGAGGAAGACCTAAGCGCCTAAAGGCAGGTCTCCTCCTGGAGACCCAGGAGGGCAGGAAACGGCCGCAAACTGTTTTGCCGGGAATGGGAGCGAGGCCCCGAGCGTCCTTCGGTGGACCGGGAGGGTGGCGAGCAGGCAGGCGGGCCGAGGAGCAGATGGCAGGGAGCCCAGACCCGGTGTGGGAAGGGGTTGAGCTGCCTCCGCTCAACTTTGTGGGAGGGGGGCGGTCTGGTCTGGGTCCTCAGCAGCGGTGGACCAGCTTTGAGTCCTTTCATTTTTTTTTTTTTTTTTTTTTTTCTGGTCTTTCTGAGACAGGGTCTCACTATGCTATTCAGGCTGGCCTTGAGTTCACTTTGTAGCTCAGGTTGGTCTGGAACTTGCAGCGATCCTCCTGCCTCAGCCTCCCGAGTGCTGGGATTACAAGCGTGTGCTACCACGCCCGGCTTTGAGACCTTTCTGACCGTGGGGCACTGAGTCTTGGGGTCACCCTGCAAGCCAGATGACAGGCTGCACGGTGCACTGTAATGTCTGGGGTGGGCCTGAAAGGCAGGAGGAGCAGGGACAGAGTTCCACCTGGAGGCACAGCAGTGCAAAGGGCCTGGGGCTGTAGGGGGAGCGGGAGACAGAGCCGGGACACTGGCTGGGTGCTTGGAGCAGAGTGAGGAGGCGGAGGGGGAGTGAGGTCCCTCAGGAAACAGAGCCAGATCACAGCGTGGGACCAACGAGCGGTATCTGTGGCAACTCTTCAACTCTGCCATTACAGCTTGAAACCGGCTTGGGGAGGCAGGGCGGCTCTAGTTTCCTGAGTCACCTGAAGGAAAGGCTGGAACTGCCGTGCATGGAGCAGGGAGCTGCCCAACTGGGAAAGATTGGTTTGGGGGCATCCAGGAGGTCAGTGTTGGGCCCTCGGATGCTGAGACGCGCGTGGACATCTGGGCAGCCATGTGGAGGAGGCGCTGGGTCCGCCCTGGGTTGGTCTGCAGGTCAGCGGAGAGATCTGGTCCAGGAGGGGCCGTGGCAGGACCGTGCGGCGGCAAGCCCCTGGGGGCGAGGCCCGGAGCCTTGGGGGACTCCCCAAGTGTGGATGGCACAGAGCACTGGGGCAGGGTGTGCTCATGAAAGTGACAGTGAACCCAGAACTGAGCGCAAAGCGCTTCAGGTTGTGGGGCAGGACCCAGAATTCTCCGAGCCTGCTCCTCCCTCCCCCAGGCCCCGCCCGGGAGAGCTGCAGGGTCTGGAGTCAGTGTCCTGGTCAGAAGCCACAGGCTGGGGGACACCGGAAAGGATGGTGCAAAGCGGGGAAGAGGTGTAGGCAGCCGGGTTCGCTGCTGAAGGTGGGCAGGTGTAGCCCCGTAGAGACCTCTCCCTGCAGAGACCATTTGATTATTATTTTTATTTTTCAGAGCTGGGGACGGAACCCAGGGCCTGTGTGTGCCGGGCAAGTGCTCACCACCTAGCTACACCCTGGCCCAGCTCTGCTGATTGACCCGGTGAGCCGACCAAGGACACAGCTGCCCCAAGCCCATGGAACCGAGACCCGTCACCAGCCACAAGGAGAATGTGCTCCTGGGGCCTGCCACTCCCCTGAGGCCAGGCAAGAGGCCCGGGGGGCCTGGGTGGGTGGGTGGGTGTGGGAATAGGGTCCCCTCTTGTTATAGGTCTGCTGGGGGCCTTCCAGATTCTAGATATTGGCTTCCCAGGGTTGGTTGAGGCCCGTGTCCTAGTGAGAGGTCAGGAAGAGGCGAGACCCAGAGTGGGCCTGGCTGGCACTGGCTGAATCAGGCTCTGCAGGCCAGGCAGTGCCAGGGGTAGTGGCAGGGGACCACCATGCTCAGGCTCCTGGGCCCATGAGAAGGCCACAGAGCTGCTGGTCCAGGCCAGCACGAGGGAAGACAGGACAAATTCAGATTCACATCCAGTTTCTTTGTATTGTAGCTGTGTGACCATGGGGCAAGTTGCTCAGCCTCTCTGAGCTTTATTTTGTATCCACAAAGGCAGTCACTTTTATGGCCCACTCTAGGCCCTGTGCTGAGAGCCCCCAGTAGCTCATGAATTCCTTTGAGCTCTCAGTGCTGTGAGGAGCCTGGGGGGACCAGGCAGGGGCTCCAAGTCCCACCCCACGTTCCCCAGAGCAGCTCACTTTTAGCTGATACATTAGGTCTTGCCCAGCCTGCTGCCCTCCATGGCCTCTGCCCAAGCCAGAAATTAAGGAGTGACCCTTGATTATTTGCCTTACTTTGCTCTTCCTCCTCCTCCTCTCCCTCTTCTTCCTTCTTTGATTTTTTGCAGTACTAGGGATTGAACCCAGTGCCTTTGCACTGAGCTACATCCCCAGCCCTTTTTTAAAAATTTTGAATTCTGAGATAGGGCCTCACTAATTTGCTAAATTTCCCAGGCTATGCTTGCACTTCTGACCCTCCTGCCTCAGCCTCCCCAGAGTGTTGGATTACTGGTGCCCCCTCTTCTAACACTCTTGGCTCTGCCTCCCAGCTCATCTAATTTTCCTGTGTGCAGCCCTGACCCCAGCCACCCGCCTCAGCCTCCCTGGCGTCTCCCGTGGCTTCTACCTCGCTCTCCTGTCCACGCCCTAGGGGGGTTCTGGCCTTGTGTCCTACTCAGGTTCAAGACCCGTATTGCTGAAGTCCTGGCTCCTTCCGGCCTGGGACCCTGCCCTGCCTGGCTCTGAGGCCTGGATGCCCCTGTCCGGTGCATCCTGGTCACCTGACCAGTGACCATCCGAGTCCTCTTCAGGCCACGACTGTCTCTCCTTTCTGCAGAGCAGCAAAAATTCCTGAGGACCCAGGGTGTCAACCTGGGCAGTGGCCATGGCTCATGGCCGTCGTCCATGTGCGGGGCTGCAAGGGGAGGACCTGCCGCCACCTGCTCCTCGGGGACAGCGCTGTGCCAGGAGCCCCGCCGCATCCAGACCAACCTCTCCAGCCCTCGTCCCCGCCGGGGCCCAGCCCTGAAGGACACGACGGGCTGGCTGGTGAATTCGAGCTTCCCGCGACAGTGCAACGTGCAGCCCCGCACCCGCAGGCCCCCAGGAAAGGCGCCTGCGGCCCGGCAGAGTAACCTGGGTCTGACCGGGGCTGCCAGCCCGCCTCCCCGGGGCAGCCTCGGAGCGCTGGCTCGCCTGTCCCCCTGCCTGTGGCAGACACGCCCGGCCACAGCCCCCAGGCCCACGGCAAGCTTTGCCCCTCCCCATGGGCGCACATGGCCAGGCCCCGGATTCTGGGGGCGCCTGGGGGGCCAGACCTCTAGGTTCACAGGGGAGCCCCTCACCCTGGAGGACCTGGCTGTCCCTCAGGCTCAGCGCCCGTCCCGCGCGGCCATCCACCAGCTGCTGACTTCTGTGCAGCACCTGGAGTGGCAGGCAGCCCGTCTCGGGGGCCGGGCATCTCGGGAGCCCCCGGGCCCTGCACAGCGGGGCCCCTCCCCGGGCGGTGGCCAGGCCCTTCCTGCCCGCGCCCAGCACAGCCGGCTTGCTCTTTCGTCCTGCGATGAGAGGAGGAGACACCCCCATGGCCACGGGGAAGCCACAGATCTCTGGGTGACTCAGGGGACCCAGGCTGGTCACTCAGACCCTTGGGCACCCAGCCAGCCAGCATCGCCCAAGACCTCTTTGGGAATGTGGACTGGACGTTTCCATTACTCTGAGCGGGAAGTCCTTCCTGCCCAGTCCCTCAGGCTGGAAGAGCAGGAGTCCGCAGGGCCCACCTCTCAAAGGTCCGACAGCAGGGAGGCCTGGCTCGGCTCTTCAGCCTGCTCCAGAGCCGCCACAGCCGGGAGAGTCCTACCCGGGTGGGAAGAAGTGCGCCCTCCGATGGAGCCGGGAGAGAAGACAGCTTCCGGTCCCCCGGATGAAGCCCCGGCAAGGAGGGGCGTCCACTGGGTGGAGCCCAGGGAGGCTGGGTGAGACTGGGGTTCTCAGCAGAGGCTCCCCTGCCCCACTCGGCCTGAGCGCTGTGTCTCGTCCTTTGCTTCCCCAGAGCAAGGCCCGAGACAGTGTGGCCCCGGAAGAGAGCCCCGTGGCCCGCGGAGGCCATGGCTGGGTGTGGTGGGTTGGGGTCCCTAAATAGTAAACTGAGGCTGCTGGACTCGTGGAGTCAAAAGGGGTATTCTGTGCCCCCCCCCCCAGCTTTTTATCTGGAGTTTCCACATCTAGCCCTGAGCCAGAGGGAGGCCGTGCCAGGCTGCAGTGGGACCTGGGGTCGTTCCCCTTGTGATTGCTGGAAAAGCCACAGGATGGTGCCAGCGGCCAGTGGATCCCTGGGGTGGGAGGCTCGGGGCTGCCCCTGACCAGCCCTGGTCATCCCCAGCCAGCAGCTGCTGTCCAGATGTTTCAGAGCCTGGATGTGTGTGATGCGGAGGCAGCAGGCAGCGGGGGCAGCCGTGGCTCTGAGCCGCAGGCAGCTGTTTCCAGAAGGCTTCCGGGCCCTGCGGTGGACCCTGTCGCTCCGCGAGGCCTGGCTGGAGGTGGCGTGGAGGCGACATGCAAAGGCCTTGCTGGCCCAGACCTTCCGAGAGGTCAGCCCAGGAGGAGGTGATGGAGCTTGGGTGTGTCAGGGAGTGGGTCCCGTAGTTCAGACTCCAAAACCCACTCTGCTTGAGTTGGAATCTTACCTCCTCCACTTTCTGGCTGTGTGACCTTGGGCAAGTTAGTTATCCTCTCTGTGCCTTAGTCTCTTAATCTCTAAAATGAAATAATAATAGTATATGTCTCTTTAGGTTATTATGAGATTAAATTCATAAAAGACTTAGATCCCTGCACAGCACCTAGCAAGCAAGCACTCTACCACATAAGTGGGTGCTATTTTTGCAGGGCATGGTGATACACGTCTATAATCCTAGCACTTGGGAAGCTGAGGCAGGAAAATCACCCCCAAGTTTGAGAGCAGCCTGGGCTCTATAGTGAGTTCAAGGCCAGCCTGAACTACATAGTGAGAACCTGTCTCAAAAAAAAAAAAAGAAAGAAATCAAAACAAAACTGGTTGCTATTTTTCACTAGTGGCTTGCCAGGCAGGACTGGAAGAGTACGTGGGAAAGAGGTGCCTTGTCCTGAGGTTTTTCCTACCAAAGAAAGCCAGCCTGTTGGGACCCTTCTCTCCATTCACTCACTCACTCCAAGGGGGCAGGGTAGTCTAGTGGTTAAGGCCAGAGGGGCTGGGGTCTGACAGGAGGGTTACGGTCTCCCACCCTTTCCTGGTGATCCTCGGGGGAACATTCAAGGCGGCAGCTAATGCCTCCCGCCCATTCTGCCCCAACCCAGTGGAGACTCCTAGTGGTGAGGAGGAAACAATGGCAGCCCCATGTCCAGCCTTCGTCCAGACCCTGCGCTTCCTGGAGCGGCAAGGACCAAGTCCCCCACGGGGGAGGAGAGGCAGCAGGGTGCCCCACAGCAAGAAGCAGGTAGGCTGGGTCCCCCAGGGCAGCCTGCGTGGCCTGGGCAGCTGGGGCCTCTATCCCCTGCTTCCTGTCATGCTGCCCCCTCCAGCCCCTTACAAGAAAATGAGGATGAGGTGGGCAGGTATAGACAAAGATTTGCACAAAATAATGTCCATCACAGTGTAGTTTGTAATCAAAAACACTCGCAACAGCCGGCGAGTGCAGCTTAGCCTAATGCTGTGACCAGCTGGGCAACCACACTGTGAGATGTTTGTGAAATTAAAGAAAAAAAAAATTCCAGCCAGGCATGGTGGCACACACCTGTAATCCCAGCACTCAGGAGGCTGAGGCAGGAGGCTTGCCATGAGTTTGAGGCCAGCCTGAACTGCACAGTGAGACCCTGTCTCAAAAAATAAAATTCTTCCTCTCTCCTCTTTTTCCTCTATTTTTTTCTTTTCAATACCTTTACTTGTTTTATTTCTACTCATAACAGTAATGTGTGCTTGAATTAATATTTTTCTTTTTTTTGGTACTGGGAATCGAACTCATGACCTCTGGGTTGCCAGGCAAGCACTTACGCTGCTGAGCTACATCCCTGGCCAGCTTGCTTGAGTTAAAAACATTCAAGGGCCGAGGATATAGTTCAGTAGCACAAGTGCCTGCCTGCCTGGCAAGCACAAGGTCCTGAGTTTGATTCCTGGTACCAAAAAAAAAACCAAACAACAGCAAAAAAGACACATTCAAACCAGGTGTAATAGTGCATGTCTGTAATCTCAACATTCTGGGAGGTTAAGGCAGGAGGATTGTAAATTCAAACCCAGTCTGGCAAATTTAGCAACTTAGTGAAATCCTGTCTCAAAATAAAAATGGGCTGAGGATGTATCTCAGTGTGAAGGCCCCAGGTTCAATCCCCAGTACTGTCGAATAAATAAAAAAAATTTAAAAATAGTTTGAAGTATAAAACCTGAAATCTTCATTCCCCTAACCAGTGCCCCACATCTGTAAATGTCTTTTACAGGTATTTGTGTAGGGCTTTTTAAATGTTAAATGAAAAAATAAAATAGTAAAAACAGATACTAAAAATAGTATCTAAACTATTTTTCCCAGCTATGTAAAATAGAGAAAAAGGACGACAAAGAAGACAAAACCTAAGCGTGGCACACTGTGAATATACATAGTGCTACTGAGCTGGACACAAAAAGTGGCTGCAATGGTGATTCTCCTGTTTCTGTATTTTGCCGCAACTCAAGATTAAAAAATTAATATTCATTTGAAAATGCAGCCGGGATATAGCTCAGCGGCACAAGCACCTGCCTGGCAAGTGCAAGGTTCTGAGTTCGATTCCTCATACACACACACCAAAAAAAGGCCCATTTAAAAATGCAAAGATGAAAATAGTGCTCATCTCTGGAGCAGTGGGATTCAGACTGGTGATTTTCTTCTTCATTTCTCTAATTTTCTACTACAGTGGTATAGTTTTCTTGCTCTTATTTTTAAATTGAAGAGATTTATTTATTTATTTATTTATTTTTTCACCATTTTGAGACAGGGTCTCGCTATGCAGTTCAGGCTGGCCTTGAGCTCACTTTGTAGCCCAGGCTGGTCTCAAACTCACAATGATCCTCCTGCCTCAGCCTCCCGAGTGCTGGGATTACAGGCATGCGCCACCATGCCCAGCTGAAGAGATATATTTAAAACAGTTAAATGACACTTATTTTATTATTTTTGTTTGTTTGCTTTTAGTTTTTTGGTACCAGGAATCGAACTTTGGACCTTGCACTTGCCAGGCTGGCAGTTGTGCTCCTGAGCTATATCCCCGGCCCAATGACACTTATTTTAATACATGTTTATTGTAAAGAATCTAAATAAAAGTTGAGTATGGCAGCACACACTGGTAATCTCAACACGCAGGAGGCTGAGGCAGGAGAATCACCATGAGTTTGAGGCCAGCCTGGGCTATACAACAAGATCCTGTCTTGAAAATCCAGAAAGGAAAGAAAAGAATCTAGATAAAGCTGGGCATGGTGGTGCACACCTGTAATCCCTGCACTCCAAGAGGCTGAGTTAGGAGCATTCCAAGTTTGAGCCTAGCCTGGACAATTTAGTGAGACAGCGTCTCAAAATGAAAAATAAAAACATGCTGGGGATGTAGCTCAGTGCAGAAGCCTGGGTTCAATTCCCAATACCGCCTACCTACCCTCCACAGTAATCTAAATAGGAGTCTGGAGGTGTAGCTCAGCGGTGGAGTACTTGTCTATCATGTACAAGACCCTGGGCTCCATCTCCAGCACCACAAAAAAATAAAATGAGAGAGAATAAAGCAAACACATTAGCTGGGTGTGCTGGTGCACGCCTATAATCCCAGCACTCGGGAGGCCGAGGCAGGAGGATTGTTGCAAATTCAAGACCAGCCTGGGCTACAAAGCGAATTCAAGGCTAGCTTGAACTGCATAGTGAGACCCTGTCTCAAAAAGACAAAAAATAAATAAATAAAGCAAACACAGAGCCCCCTGCCCCACAACAGCTCCTATGCTGAAGGATAAAATGACCCGCCGGGAATGGGGGGTGAGTGCAGGGGCTCTGCGCTCCGGCTGGCACACACAGGCCGGGACTGTGTACCCCCACAGCCCTGGCAGCATCTGTCTCTGGGCCACTGCAGGGCAGGGAGCCTGAGGGAGGAGGAGGAAGCCCAGCCTCCTCCGCTGAACCCTGGGCAGAGACCAGACAGCGGAGTGGAGGGAGACGGTGGAGACCGGAGAGTCCAGACCCTGCAGGCCCTGCAGCGGCTGGCAGGTGAGCCAGTGGGGAGCCAGGGACAGGGCCAGCCCAGGCAGGGCCCAGGGGTCAGTGTTACTATCTGCTCCTTTCCGGCCTCATTTGTGGCTTCCCACAAAGTGCTGTGCCCGTTTTACTGATGGGGAACTGAGGCTCAGAGAGGTTAAGCGACCAGCTCAGGATGCACAGCCACGAGAGGTGCACACCTTGCGTTTGGGTCCCTCTGACACTCACAGTGGCCCGCGCCAGAGGCGAGAATGTGGGATTACTCATCACAGGGCCTGGCACTCGGGCAGGGGAACCCCCAGAGATGGGGCAAGTGGCAGCCCAGGTGTCCCAGCCCCCCTAGCCTGGAGCCTCCCTCTACCAGTCTCCCTGTCCCCGCTCTGCAGTCTTCCTTCTATGGTGCCAGAAGAAGGACGGGGCCAGGAAGGAGACGGGGCCCCTCGGGGAGGTCACTCAGAGGACACAAAGGACAGATGTGCCCCCCACGGCCCCTCAGCCGGGGAGAGAATGGCTGTGCAGGTAGGGGAGGTGGATCGGCTCCCGCCCCTCTAGCATGGGACAGGAAGGCAGCTGACCCAGCTGAGCGCGAGGTCCACCCCGGGGCTGGCTCTCCCACCTGTGCCCGCATCCCTGAGGGACCCGGGGCGGGTGGGGGAACAGATGGGGAATTAGTGCCACCGGAGTCCAGGGCTGGGAAGCTCCTTTTTATTTGTTCATTTATTTTTTGGCATTGGTCCTTGATATGTCGCCAAGGCTCGTTTTGAACTGGGTGAGGGGGCTGGGGGTTGAGGAAGGGTTGGGGAGGTGCCCAGGGCGGGTCTCACAGGGCCAGGGGCCACTTGGAGGGTCAGGCCTTGGGATCTGAGGCCCAAAAAGTATTGCTCTGGCTACCGAGAGCAGTTGAGTGGAGGGACTGAGGCCAAAAGCAGCCATTCATGCACCCGGGGGGATGGCACTGTGGCCTGAGCAGGTAACAGGCCCCGTTCTCATAGCAGCCCATTTTACAGAGGAGAAACTGAGGTTCTGAATGGCGCAGGGCTCGCCTCTGCCTGGAGAGTAGCCTGGTCCACGGCAGAGGCTGGACACTCTCCCGCTGCTCTCCTAGGTGCTTCCGGGCCTGGCAGCAGGTTGTAAAAAGAGAGGCCCAGTGCCAGGGCCACCTGGCTGACCACCGCAGGAGGACGCTGAGGATATGCCTGGGACAGTGGGTGCAGATGAAGCAGCGCCGAGAGTCAGATGGGGCGAAGGTGACCCAGCTGTTCCTCTGCTGGCAGAAGGGGGGTAAGTGAGGGCAGGTACAGGGGTCCCTTTCCCTCTCAGCCCTGCAAACCCTGCCACCTGAGGTCCCTGGGCAGCGGGCCCAGAGAAAGCTTCAGGTCCCTGTGGTAGGAGATGGTGGCACTTGGGGGCCTTGTGGGCCAGGGGACTCCTGGAGGAGCCCAGGGGTGGGCAGACCCCAGCCCAGGCAGACCCCCTGGGGTGTGATGGCGGCCCTGCTCCACCTCCTCCCTGCAGGCTGGCTCGGCCCTGGGTTTTCCCATGTGGGAGAGATGGGGCCCCGACCTCAGGAAGATCGTGGTCTGGTGGGGGACACACAGCCCCGCCCCCACTGCCTGGGAATGTTGGGGTCCTCCAGGCTGGGAGGGAGGGCTCAGGAGCACGTGGGAGGGGCCGGTGCCCAAGGGCAGCCCCAGGCAGAGGGAGGCGGGAGGGTGTGTCTGACTCAGCTCCCCCTGCTTCTCAGGCGACCTGGCCCTCCGAAGCTCAGCCCATGGCCTGGAGACCATGGCCCCGGTGTCCCTGCAGGGCGCCTGCCTGAGACTGTCCCTCGGCCGGGCCCTGCTGCTCTGGGGAACGCGCTTGTCCCAGCGCCAGCGGGCCAAGTAGGTGTCCAGGAGCTGGGGCCCCAGGTTGGCCTGGGGGCATAGGGTGGGCTCCCGAGGGGGGCTTGGCACCCAGAGGAGTGTCTCTTAGGGGAGCAGCCACACTCCCTTCCCTTGCTTGTGCCCAGCAGATGCCCCCTGGGAGGTACCAAGGGTCACTGAGGCGATGATGGAGCAGAGGGCCGCTGGGGCCGCAGGGCTGCTGGGAACACAGACTCAGCTCTGCCCAGGTGGCTGGATCTAGGTGGAGCCATCCTGGCTCAGCCCCCCTGAGAGTGCGCCCCCTGGCGGCAGGTGCCCTGTCTGTCTCCCCAGCACCCGGCGGGTGCCTGGCACGCTGTAGGCACAGAATAAATCCAGTGAAGGTAGGAGGGAAGGAGCCAGGGTGCGGAGCTCGCATCCCCTCTGCCCCATTTGCCTCATAACACAGCAGTTGGCTCCAAGTCACACTGTGAATCAGGAGCAAGGAAGTCCCCCTAACCAGGCGCTGTGGTGCACACCTATAATCCCGGCATGCTGGGAGGCTGAGTTCAAAGCTTAACAAGACCTTGTCTCAAAATAAATAAAAAATGGGTCTGGGCCTTCAGTGTGAAGGCCGTGTGTTAACCCCAGTACCAAAAAAAAAAAAAGAACTCTGTCCTTGGAAGCCACACCACTGTCCCCGAACCCCCGAACCCCTTGTCTCAAAATAAATAAAAAATGGGTCTGGGCCTTCAGTGTGAAGGCCGTGTGTTAACCCCAGTACCAAAAAAAAAAAAAGAACTCTGTCCTTGGAAGCCACACCTGGCACCCACTGTCTCCGAACCCACGTGGCCCACGCAGAGCCTCCGTCTTTTCATCGCATCCAGGAACTCGGTCCGAGATCCTTCAGGGCACCGCCCTCCCTCCCTCCCGCAGTCCCTCCTCCGCACGCCCTTCCCCTTGGGGCTGGGGATTTAGCTCAGCTGCACAGCGCCTACCTGGCAAGTGCAAGGTCGTGAGTTCAAGTCACGGTACCAGAAAAAAAAAAAAAAAGGAAAAGAAAAAGAAACGCCCTTCCCGGGGCCAGTCTTCCTGTCCGTGGCTGAGCAGACAGATGTGCTGAGTGTGGGTGCTGGAGTCTGGGCCCTTGAACCCAGGGCCCAGCTCACCCTGGTCAGCAACACGCACCCCCGTACCCCATCCCAGCCTGGGGGTGAGTGGGGACCAGCAGGGGATATAGGTGGGCAGTCAGCACCTGGGCAGAGCTGGAGGAGCCAGGGAGCCCCGCCCAGGCCACCTCCAGGCTGTTATGCCCAAGTCCCTGGGGATGGGACCCTGGCCAAGGTGTGTCTTGGAGCCCCCAGGCCCCCAGCGTGTGGCCGGTTCAGAGAGCAGGGCTGCAGGGCCTGTGCTGACCCCTGCCAGCTTTGTTCTCCCTGGGGGCTAGAGCATGGTAGCCCCAGCCTGGCACCCCCACCTCCACTCACTCTTCTCCACAGCTCCTTCTTCCAGGGCACAAGGGAGCGGGCCCTGCGGCGCGTCCTGAGCTGCTGGCACCAGAGGGTGTGGGGTGTAGATGCCCCGTCAGCCAGCAGTGCAGCCACCTCGGACCTGGAGCCACTGGACAGCACCCCAGGCGGGTCAGCCTGGCTGGGCAGCAGCGCCTGCCGGGGCTCCCTGGAGAAGGTGCAGGGCAGGACTGGGGGGGGCGGGGAGCAGCTGGGGAGAGGATGGGGACCCATACTCCTCCCTCCCTAGAGTCCTGGAGCCCCCGACCTCCTGGACACTCTCCGGACGAGTGACCTGCAGGCCGCTGGGCTGCAGCAGTGGGACCAGCGCCTTCTGCCCTGGCGGGCGTGGGGTGCAGCGAGGCAGTGCCGCAGCCTCCAGAGGCGGTAGGGACCCACCCCAGCGTTGTGGAGCCCTGCTTTCCTTCTCTCCTCTCCCATCACCCCCTCCCTTCACAGCAGCAGCCCCTTGGGGTCTGCATCCCAGGGCTCCCCCGTCCCACGCCAGTTTGTCTGGGCCCCTCCTATGAGGTCACGGCTGGGGTTCCCTTCTGGAGTCCCACAACACAGTTTGAGAGAGGCCTGCCTGGGGTCCAAGGTGAGGGGCAGCTGGGCAGTTAGGCAGGGGGCGGGGAGGGCTGGGGAGGTCAAGGCAGGAAGACAGCACAGCTAAGGGGAGCGGTGGGAAGGACCAGCTGGTGGCTGAGCACGGGCTCGGCAGTGGGGTTAGGGGTCCCTTCCTATCCCCGCCGCCTGGCACTTTGACCCTTGGTGGGGCATGTGGCTGCTCCAGTCCCAGCACTGCCCCCTTGCTGCTGAGGGGGGCAGAGTGGGCTGGGCCGGCCTCAGGCGACAGTGACCGTCCTCAGGGTAGATACTCCTGTTCCCAGCATCCTCCTCACCTGGAGCCACTGGTCAGCAGCTCAAGGGGCTTGGAGAGAGCTGGCTGCCTGCCAGGCCTGCGACAGGAGCTGCAGGGCTGCCCTGGGCCTGTGGCGGCGGTGGCTGGCACAGCGGCAGGAGGCAGAGCGGTGGGCACAGGAGCGGGGCCGCGGCCGGGCTCGGGATGCTCTGCGCCACTGGCACACCTGCTGGCAGAGTGAGTTGAGGATGGGGCCGGGCACTTCGGGTGAGGTGGGAGCCAGGCTGGGACGTGTGAGGCACACCCAGGGCTGGTGGTAGAGAAGGAGGTGAGAGCCTGAGCCAGAACCGCAGCTTTTTCATCCCCTAATAGCAGAACTGGCAGCGGCACCTCTGCCGGGTTCTGTTGTCAGAAGCAAGTTCGTCAGTCCCCCGGTCCTGCAGGTGGGGTTTAGCCAGCACGTGGACACCGGGAAGGGGGTCCCTGAGGGCCTTGGTTTTTCTGAAAAGCTAGTGCCCTGTCCTCTGGCAGCTGCTGCTTTTCCAGCCCAGTTACTGCCCAGGGTTGCCAGACTTTCTGGTTGTAGAGACAAATCAGACATTTTTTTGTTGTCTTTTTGAGACAGAGTCTCGCTATGCAGTTTAAACTGGCCTTGAGCTCACTTTGTAGCCCAGGCTGGTCTCGAACTCACAACGATCCTCCTGCCTCAGCCTACCGAGGCCTGGGATCACAGGCGTGTGCCACCACGCCTGGCTAAACCAGACATTTAGATGGTTATTTAAATTCTCCTGATGCCTAGTGGTAAAGTAAGCTTTACCACAGCCAAAGGCCCTGGGGTCCATCTCTAGCACCAAACAAACAAAAACAACTCCCAAACCCCAACAATTCCAAGAGCTGGACGGCCTGCGACCAGCAGGACACCTGTCACAGAAACCTTTAATTGAGGCAGTCGTGTGGCTGCATCTGTGCCCACGTGGGTGGGGACAGAGGGCAGGCTGAGCACCCAGGGCTTCTTCGGTGGGTGTCTCTCTGGCCCCAGGACAGCAGCTCCTGCGTGAGAAGTACCGGAGGTGGGTGCATGGCCACCTCCAGGGCCTGCGGAGGGCTGTGTTCCGGGGCTGGCGGCAGGAGGCGGCCCGGCAGAGGCACATGCGCAGGTGTGTGCACCAGGGGTTGGGGGAGGTTGGGGTCCCCAGCCCAGGGAAAGCAGCAGAGGAGGCCAGCGAATGGACGCTCTGGACGGCCCTGAGGCTGGGGTCTGGGAAGGGAGGGGGCAGGAAGGGAGGGTGATCACCAACCCCTCCTTATCTGTTTTGGGGGTTGGCAAGCCCCCCTCTCACCTATGACCCTGGCAAGCCCCAGGAGTGCCCCTTCTGGCTAGGGCAGCTTTGTGCCTTGTGCTCCTGCATTCAAATGAGCAGGACAGGAGCAGGAGATTGTGTTCCTCCCTCCCCTCCCCGAACACCTAATCACGGGGCATAGCTGTGAGCCCATAAATGGTCAGTCCACAAGCCTTCCTGGGGCAGCATCTGCTCCCCAAGACTAAGGTTTGAAGATAGGGTCTGTGTGTACTAAATTTCCTTTTAGCAAAGCCCTTTGCCCTTAGTCCCTGGACAGGACATTTTTGCTTGCTTTTTATTTTTCTATTCTTTTTTTGAGATGGTTTCACTGTGTACCTCAGGCTGGCCTCACACGCTCAGCCATCCCCCTGCCTCAGCCTCCTGGGTACTGGGATTACAGGCATGTGTTGGCCAGGGCCTTTTTAAGGCACACTGCTTGTTGCACCTGCAAAGCTGTGTAACTCACACTATCTGAAGGCGACTTGGAGAAGTCCTTTTGGGTAGCTCTGACCTCTGACTCAGAGCCAGCTGGCTTTCTCCTCTGCTCCTATTTTGCAGCCACTTCCAGGCCTGGTGTGAGCTTGGGAGAGACACGGGGGAGCCCAGGGCCCAGGGTCCAGCCTTCCAGGATGCCCCAAGGACGAGAGCACTGGGGGCCGCACTTGCCGCATGGCAGGGGGCCCGAGGGGTGACGGCCAGGGTACAGGAGCAGCATGTGGCCCGGCCCTGTGTCCAGCACTGGAGCAGCCGTGCGCAGCAGGGCCTAGCAGAGAGACAGCTGAGGAGAGCCCAGGCCCAGCAGGCCTTTGTAGCATGGCAAGTGGCCCTGGGCCAGTGCCATGAGGCCCAGCAGGTGGCCCTGTGCTGGATCCTGGAGCTTCAGGGGACCTGTGGAGTCCATGCTGTCCAGAGGCTGAGTGCCCAGTAAGTGCCCGCAGCCCAAGGGCAGCCCTGCTGTGGGCCTCGGGCTCAGGCTGTGAGCTCGATTGTGGCGGGGCAGAGCATATTTGGTGGCCGGGTGGCAGGCAAAGGCCCGGAGGGTGGTTGGGGGGTGGGGAGAGACCAGCCTGGCCTTGCAGCTGGTCCCAGGGGTGAGGCCCAGCCTTACCACTTTCTAGCTGGGGGACCCTCCTTGGGGAAGTCTCTGAAGAGTCCTGTCCTGCTTCGTGGCCAGACGTGTGCCACTGCTTTGCCCAGGGCCAGGGCACGCAAGTGGGCAGTGTGTTCTTAGGAGAGGAGGCAAGGCGTGGCTGGCAGGACTGCCCCCCTCTGCCCCTTAAGCAGGGTGCTTGTCCCTGTTGGACAAGGTGCTGCCCCTTCCAGAGCCCTCTGCAGCCCACTTAACTCAACTCTGCAAGGCGGCAGGGGGAGGGCACAGGCCGGGGGTTTTGGTGGCTCTTCCTGAAAGGCGTGCCTGAGGGGCCCCGTGCTGATGGCATGCTCTGGGCTCTTCTCCAGGGCCCTAGCGGCCTGGGCCCAGGGCCACGTCCAGCGAGTGGCCATCACCCAGCTCCTGCAGGCTGGGCTCGGGCGCATCCTGCGGACCCACTGGGCCCAGTGGCGGACAGTGCTACTCAGAGTGCGGCTGGACCGAGGGACCCAGGCCCAGGGTGCCAGCCTTAGGCACTGGCCCAGGCCGGCCAGCAGAGGGCGCCTCCTCCTGCTGATGGATGCTCCAGCCCCTTGGAGGCAGGTGAGGTGGGGCTCAGGTGGGTGGGGGTCTGAAAACGTCAGACCAGGGATGGTAGCTTCAGCTTATTCCAGCCCATGGTGCAGCAAGGCTGGGCGCTTCTCCAGGTCCCCAAAGGCTTTACAGACCCCACCCCTAGCCGGCTCTTGCATGCTGTCCCAGCCCTGGGGAGCGGGCAACACCGGCCAACACCGTCCAGGTCTGGTGCAGAGTCCCAGGTGCTGCGGGTCCGAGTCTGTTCAAGAAGACAAGTAACACAGCACGTGCAGTCTGGGATTGAGATAGGTCCATGGACACCGTCTCATTTTAACCAAGTTTTCTTTTAATTGGAAAAATGCAATATGCCCATTACAGAAAATAAAATATAAAAGTAAAAAAAAAAAAATCATTTTTTGTATTCATAAGTAATCACCAGCCCCTCTCCAGACCTGAAGCTATTAGTTCTGACACTGGCAAATGATGAGGCACCACCACTACCAGGCATAAAAGATGACACTGCACGGGAGCCGGGACCGTCACTGAAGGACTCAGACGGGGCAGGTGGAGCAGTGTCTCTGAAGATCACTAGGATGCCAGGAGGAGCAGAGTTTACAGATTCTTTTTTTTTTTGGTACTGGGAATTGAACTCAGGACCTTGCGCTTGCCAGGCAGGCGCTTGTGCCGCTGAGCTGTATCCCCAGCCCTGAGTTTACAGACTCTGAGAAAACTAAAGTGGTTTTTGTTCTTTCAATGGAATTGGGAGGCGAGATTAAGGGTTTGCAAGATTCACATGGACAGATCAGTAACAGTGCCAGGCCCAGGGTACTGGGTATCCCCATTTCTAGCTGGGTTGCAGAGGATTTCTTTCACTCCACTCCTGTCAGCAAAGGCAAGGATCCCAAACAGTGCTGGGGAAATAGGCCCACAGACACAACAGATGCTGCAATGGCACCATGTGAGCTTCTTTCCAGCCCTCCTCCCTGCTGCAGGTGCAGGTACACGTACACGTACACACACACACACACACACACACACACACACAGAGGAAGCCCCCTCATCTGTCAACATGGGCAGGTAGGAGGCATCTTGCAGAGGCGTGGGGCCCCCCACTTACATACTGGAGTAGCTGGGGGCTCGGGCTCAGGCCTCTAAGTCACTCACTCAATCCTGTAAAGCTTAAGTGGGGACCGTGGCAACCACCTCAGAGCTGGTCCTGGCCCAGGTGAGCTCTTACTGGTTCCCTCTGACTGAATGACTTCAGCGGGTGGGAGGACGGCCACACCGCCCAGGAGCACCTTCTCCATCTCTGGGGGCCTCAGGCTCATGGGAGGTCTCACGGTGCGGTGGACCCTCCCATTTGGGTGCACGAATGGGGGGTCCCACTGGTGGTTGGCCAGGGCAGCTGGGTTCCAGCAGGTCCTCGCCCAGGCTCAAGTGTTCTTCTCACTGTCATTTAGACACAAAGCTGCAGGCCACAGGCCACAGGGTCCACGCAGCCTGGGCCACATCACACTTACAGCGGACAGAGACCGCAGGGGGAAGCGGCCGGGGCTCACAGTAAGGAGACCTGGCCCCTGGGTGTCTGAATGGTGGACTGGGTGAGGTATCACCGCCCTTGGGGGCCAGGAAGTCAATTCCTCACCACCCCAAGCTGGCTTGAGTGTTCCTGTCTTCCCCACCCACCTCCTCCTTTTAATCTCTCAGCTGTGCGGAGATTGTGGCTCCCTTCCCGCCCCGCCCCGTTATTTCTCTTGGAGCAGCCAAAGTCCTGGGGACATGGGGGAGGGGAGGGCACAGGCTTCTCACCACGTACTCCCTGTGGCCTCAACTGGCTGGCACTGAGGAAGCAGCTGCTACCCTGAAGATATGTGCTAACCTCTCCTGCCCTAATTCCCTTTTCCAGGCCCCAGGGAGTGCCCCCTCCACCCTCGCTTCCAGCAGTGGCCAAGACACAGCTGGGCCCCCACAAGGGCCACTACAGCTCCAGGATGGCCCTGTGGCTCTGAGATCAAAGCCCTCGAAGGCGAGGGTCCTTCAAGCAGGCTGGGGTACGGACAGCTGTGTGGGCATACTGGGGAGGCGGTGGGTGGCCTGAAGCCTCTCTGGCCAGGGCTTGGTCCCATAGGGCCTGGAGGAGCGAGAGCAGGCCCAGGCGCAGCCTTCTCCCTGGCCTTGATGAGGTCATGATGCCTTGGCCACCAGGAGGAAGTACCTAAAGTGCCCGCTCCTTGAAGTTCTGCTCCGAAGGTTCCAGGCCTCCCAGCGGGCCAGGTGCCTTAGGGTGACGTGGCAGCGCTGGGCAGGTGCTCGAGGGGCCGAGCAGCTGTCCTGGAGCCTGGTAAGCAGGCTTGACAGCCCCTCCTTACCCTGGCTGCATCTCCCATCCTCCTCCTGACCCTACAAACAGCACCTTTCACCTTGGCCTCATGGTGAGGCGGCTCCCCTTGTCACCTCCACCCTCAGCTCAGGCAGTGGCACCTGGGACAGGCCTGGAGGGTGTGGCGGCGGCGGGTCCTGCAGCTTCGAGTGGCCAGGCGGCTACAGCAGCGAGAAGACAGCTGGGTCCTTTCCCAGGTATGGCGGCGGCCTCAGGACCCCTCACCAGCTGGCCTGCAAGCCAGGGGCACCTCAGGACACTGCTGAGTGGGGTGGGGTCTCCCCTGCTGGCCCCTGAGGCCCCTTTGTTTCTTGCGGAGGTAACTGTGCAGCCTGGATGGCGGGCCCTGGATCTGACTGGTGGCTACAGCCCAGCCCAGTGGGAACAAGGGAACACTGGGAACAAGGTCTGACCTGCGGCACAGCAGCTGCTTGGGGCTGGGTCCCAAGTGCCCTGTGGTGTCCGCTCCTCCTGGAGCAAGGCTGCCTAGGTCACAAGTCAGATCTATTTTGGGCCCGTGTGTTTGGCCTGGCTGCCAGGGCAGGGGGTGGGGCCTCCACAGGGACTGAAAGAGCCAGGCCCAGCACAGGCCCTGCAGGACTCCAGAGACGAACGGCCTCTCCCGGCCCTCCCAATTCCAGGCCTTTGAGAGGTGGCACCAGCAGCTGGCAGCCAGGAGCCCAAGGAGGAGGTACCGGCCTCCTGGAACAGGCCGGATACTGCCCCAACCCTGGACTGTGGAGGACGTGGGGCAGGGCAGGGGTCCAGCTGCAGCCGTCACTTGTTCCCATGAACTAAAAAGCAGAGCTGAGTCCAGGGAAGGAACATGACCCACATCCACGGAATGCAGCGACAGCGCTAGGGGCCCGAGCACAATAAAGGCCTCCTTGGTCCTAGCTGCTGCTCTTGTGCAATCTCCTGAGGCCACCCTGCACCTCAGCCAGCTGGGCTTGGGAACGGAGGGCAGAGGGACCCACCGGGGGCGGGTCTCCTTCCTGCTGGGCCCGCCAAGCTGGCAGGCTGGCTTCCAGGGCAACAGCAGCCCACACGCACCTGCCTGTCACAGGCCTCGGCTGGCAGGAGGGGTTGAGCACCGCCGTGGGCAGAACTGGGGTCCCCATCAGTCGAACCTCATCTTTGCCTGACTGTTACTAGCACAGAAGAGGTGATCAGGTCCCAGCAAGCGCCTAGGGCTGGGACTGCCTTTAGCCCTTACGGGACGTGTGATCTCCCCAGCCATCAGAACACACGGCTATTTCAAAGAGCAGCACTGGAGGAGGGGACACACCCAGCTGAGGTGTCAGGTAGAAGGTGCCAAGATGTCCTGGCATGCTGGGTGCCAGCCCAAGGCCCATCCCAGGGCCCGGTACTGTGGCCAGCCAAGCAGGAAGTGGTGGTTTGCCCCTTCAGTCACAGGCCCTGGGGCCCTGCCGCCAGCTCCTAGAAGGTGGCACTTTATTCTTCAATCTCACAAGAGCCTGCTGCCCATACTTGGCCTGTCCTGCAGGGGCCCCAAGTACAAGTTCATTAGGAGCCCCGGGATTGCTCCAGTAGCTCAGATGCAAAACCAGCATCCTTCCCTTCCCAGGGAGGGTGATGGCCAGCCACTGCGGTCCCCTGCGGCACGGAGGTGTCCCTCACTGACAGAGCACCAGATCCTGCTAGTGCAGGAGCACCAGGCTCCCGCGGGGGACTGACTGGTCCAGCCAGAGCTCAGCAGCCTCACGCAGGGCAGCTGCCATCCTTACGTGGAAAGTGGGAGCCAGGCTTGGGGGCACACGGGACAGCCAGGACCGGGAGGGGTGGATGCAGGTCAGGGTGCCTCCGCCTCCCTCGAGAGCCCAGCAGGCCTGTTGAGCAGCTCGAACGCATCCTCCACCACCTGCCACAGGCAGTTGTCCTGCGGGAACTCGTTGTCCACCAGGTTGACCAGGAAGTAGTTGTCGTGGATGTACTGGATCATCATGCGGGACGGGGACTCCTCGTCGTACAGCTTGCCCCACTGCTCGATCCACAGGGCGAAGGCCTCGTCCTGCACACACAGGTGTGGGCACGCAGATGTACGCACACACACGCATGCACACATACGTGCAAGGTCTACAGGACGCCCCAAGCCAGGGCCCCCGGCTCCGCATGTCAAGGGCTTCTGCTGCTGCCTTAGTGGACAGGTCCAGGAACAGAGCAAGGCCCAGGGCCAGTGCCAGTCCCACCCCCTTGGAAACAACCACCGCTCTCAGGCATGTGTGGCTTTGAAGGCCGAGTTTGCGGGCCCTGGGGGTGTGGACTTCAGCCACATCCTTGGGAGCGGGCAATGCTGTCTCTTCAGGGTTCTCAAGGTGTGTCGGGGGGAGGCTCCTTCCAATCCTTTACCTTCCAGAACATGAAGCTGACGGGATCCACCACCGTGGGCTGGATGATCTCGCGCCCCGGGAAGATGCCCCATGTGACGGCGTTGGGCTGCAGCTCAGGGGCGTTGGTGATGTTCTCACCCTGCAAGCGTGGTGGAGGACAGATATGGGCCAAAGCCAGCTGCAGCCCTTTCACTGCCCTTCCCGGGCCTGCACCCGAGTGGCATGGCTCTCTGCCAAGGACCAATGGCGGTCACCCAAGCAGCTCCCCACTCAGGGACAGCACTGGCCAGCTCTCACCTGTGCCCTGTGCCCTGTGCCCCGGCCCCTGGCCCTGCCTGTTACCTACACAGCTGCCTGCTGCCATCTGCCCGAGACAAAATGGAGCCAAGTCGTGCCACTGCTGGGGACAGGCGCCCCCTGCCTCTAGCACACCCCAATATTCCAAGCAGGATAACAGTCTCTGGGTCCTGCTAAACACTTCCGCCTCCTCTTTCCCTGCAATGCTGCCCCCACCCCGCCCACCCCGCTCACCAACTCCTTTTTATTACTAAGACTCAGGTAACACAGGACCCTTCCCAGAAGCTTCTTGACCTCCCAGGGTGTTTTTCTGGTGCTGGGGATTGAACCCAGGGCCTTCACACTAAGCTACATCCCTATGCCCCACCCTATTTATTTATTTATTTGTCTTTTTGAGACAAGGTCTCACTAAGCAGTTCTGGCTGGTCTTGAACTCACCTTGTAGCCCAGGCTGGCCTCGAATTAGCATCGATCCTCCTGCCTTAGCTTCCCGAGTGCTGGGATTACAGGCATGTGCCACCATACCTGGCTCTTATTTATTTTTAAATATCCTTGATAATTTTTTTTTTTTTTTTTGGTACTGGGAATCAAATTTATAACCTTACACTTACCAGCCAGGCACTATGCTGCTGAGCTATATCCCCGGCCTGCCCCCCCTTTTATTAATTCATTCATTTTTGGTTTTTTGAGACGGGGTCCCACTATGTAATTCAGGCTGGTCTTGAATTCTCTATGTATTCCAGGCTGGCCTCCAACTTCTGGCCGTCCTCCTGCTTCAGTCTCCCAAGTGTTCAGATTACAGGTGTGTGCCATCACGCTTGGTTCTTAATTTTTAAATTTTGAGACAGGGTCTCACTAAGTTGTCCAGGCTGGGCTTGAATTTGCAGTCCTCCTGCCTCAGGCTCCCAGTGCGTGTCACCATGCCTGGCCTAACATGGTTCCTCTGGAAGCTACAGCATCCTGTACTGAACTTTATTCTCCTGCTTATGCTGACAAGTGATTAGCCATTTCTGTCTCCTCACTAGGCTGGGAACTCTCTGGGCCAGAGGTCTGATTCTGCCTGTCTCAGGCACAACTGCCTGGCCTGGGGGAGGCAATCGGAGTTAACGTGGGCGCCCTGCTGAGCGCGTGGAGCTGGGAGCCGGAACCCGCCTACCTTCACGTCCACGATGTGGTAATTGACCCGCAGCTCATACTTCTTCAGCACCTGCAGGAGCGCCTCCACTGTCTCTCGGGAGGTGAAGAACTCTAGGTAGGCCTGTGGGCATGGGCAGCCGACACGTCAGCACCAGCTCCTGTGACGTCCTTTCCATGTGCGAGAGCACGCTTGGGCTGTGGCCCCCCAGGTGCCCGCCCTCCCGCCCCGCCTGTCCGGGGAGGGGCCACGCAGGCACGTGCAGCACCCTATGTCCATGGGTGTGGTGTCCTCGGGATGCGGAAACCAGCTTCGGGGATGCTGAGTCAGTGGGCTACACTGACAGTGGACAGCATAGCGGGTATTGATCCAGGGCCTCTGAGTCAGGGGCTCGAGTTCCACGTGAGGTAACTCCAGCAGCCCTGAGAGAAAATGTCACCCCGGAGTGCAGTCTGGGCCCCACCCAGTGGCTCTGCCTGTACGTGTGTCCCACAGTCCTGGGAAGCCCCCGCACCCCACAACCTTCTGGAAGACGTAGCCCCCGCTGGGGCCCCAGCCCACAATGGGGTCGGAGGACGGCTTCCCGTTGACGTTGGGCTGGGAGTTGATGGTAAGGATGCCCAGCCGGTTCACGCGCAGCAGCTGCTCCTTCATCAGGCTGGTCTCGGCCGCCAGCGGCTCGTCGTTCCAGGGCAGGCAGGTCACCTGGCAGGAGCCGGAGCAGGAGCAGGAACTGGGCTGGGGCCTCCGGGTCAGGACCCCGGCTCCCTCCCTCCCTCCCTCGGCAGGCAGACGCCGCCTATCTTTACCTCCAGCAGCCCCTCCAAGGGGACTTCCCGATTCACCCATGTGCCCTTGCCAAAGTGCCACAGCTGGGGACAGGGCAGGGGTAACCAGAGACCACGCCCCATGCCACTCACCTTGTAGCCATGCTGGTTTGGCTCTCCCGAGAGGTAGTGTGCAAAGACTTCGAAGACACTTTCCTCGCTGCTGAGCTCCTCGCCCCACATCTTCAGCAGCTCCTGCCGGGGGCACCTGCTCTTCAGGTAGAAGAGGTAGTAGTTCTTCAGCTCCCCGAAGGCCGGCGAGGAGGAATGGCCCCTGGCAGGGGGATGCCCACAAGTCAGGACCCAGCCCGCCCCCAGGCGCCTGATGGGGCAGCTGCCACCCCACGGTGCCCGGGAGGCTGCTGCTGTCCGTCCTGCCCTTCTCCTCCAGGGGCGGCCGGCCTGGAGTGGCTCTGGCCCTCACCAGCGGCCATTGGGAAACTCGTTCCAGTCCTGCGTGCGGTAGATGTAGCTCTTTGGTCTGGAGGCCCAGAAGATGGGGCGCACGTCTTCCTCTCGGCGCTTGGGGTGCGCGCTGATGGCCCAGGGGAGGGGACGTCTGGTGATGGCGGAGACAGAAAGGACCAGGGATTGGCTGAGAGAGCAGGACAGAGGCGCCACCGGGCCTGGCTTCCAGGGTCTGGCTTTAGAACTGTGGCTGCCCAAGGGCAGAGCGTCAGGAAACCCCGCCAGCCCTGGCATGCGGGTGCTGTTCCCTCACCTGGGGTCCTCAGTCCACATGCCGAGGCGCTTCAGCACCGTGGTAGTGGCCATCTTGCGATTGAGGGTGTAGAAGTGGAGGCCTGGCACCAAGCCACTGGCCAGAAGCTCCTGGCACAAGCTCACGGCCAGCTCGATGCCATAGTTGCAGATGGCGGCGTCATTGTCTTTGATCGGCTCTATCACGTCCTTGATCTCCTGCGGCACCTCCAGCTTGGACAGCTTCACCAGCTGCCGGAGGGAGGAGTAGCTCTGCCCAAGACACAGCGGGTACTGGGGTCATCTGCCCGCCACCTCCCACCCTAAGACTCATCCCTTTTCCACTCCCACTAGGTCTCCTGCCCAGTGCAGCGTCACTGGGAGAACTCAGGAAAGGCAGGCCGTGTGCAGGGCTGCACCTGGGCTGGTCCTACTTCCTCTGCTTTTTGCAGAATGCAGTAGCTGCCACTGCCTGGGCCAGCCCTTTCCCCTGAGCTGTATTTATTGATAACACGGTGGTCACCTAACCCACTGTTCCTAAGCTTTGCTGACCAGCAAAATGCAGACGTGCAGGCCCACCCAGAATGCCCGGAGCCCACGCTTTGGGAAAAGCTTATTAAAAAGGGTTCTGATGACAGCCAAGTTTGTTTTTTTTTGTACTGGGGATCGAACTCAGGACCCTGCACTTGCCAGGCAGTGCTTATGCCACTGAGCTATGTCCCCGAGCTATGTCCCCAGCTGCTACAGCCAAGTTTGAGAAACTGTGGTTTAACCAAAATTAATAGAGTCACAATCCTCTGCAGTGACACTTGTCAGCAGGCCAAAGTACACAGCCCTCACAGACACTGTGCTGTTTTGGGGCTGGGGTGTCATGTGACCACAGTGAGGTACAGCACAGCAGCACCACACTGGGCCAGGCCCCCACGTCTGTCTCACGGGAAGGACTTCAGTGAACTCAGCGCTTCCTCCAGGGCCCTGGCCTTGCTGAGGAGGGGCGTGGGGAAGCTGGAGACCCTCACCTGGATGGGGAAGATCCCTGGGAGGATGGGGCAGGTGATGCCGATCTCGCTGCAGGCCTTCACAAAGTGGAAGAAGGTGTCGGCCTCAAAGAAGAGCTGTGTAATGATGAAGTCGGCGCCTGCAGACACCTTTTCCTTCAGATGCCTCAGATCCTCCTCAAAGCTGTCTGCCTCGGGGTGGCCTGTGGGGTAACCTGGCAGCGGGGAGGACATTAGGGAGAGGCTGGCTTATGCCTGCTTAAGGTGACCGATGAAGACCCCAGAGTACTCTGACCTGGGTCTCAAACTCACAGCTTCCAACGGCACAGCACAACAGGCAACCCGGGTGGCAGATGTGCCCTCTGGCCGGAGACGACCCTCGTGGGAGACGGCTTGAAGCCAGGAGCGGGGATGGACCGCGCGCAATGTCTCACACTGTCCTGGCTCAACCCGTCAGTCAAATCGGGCCTGCACCTGGGGGCCACGGATTAAAGGCGCTGGGCAGGCAGCTTCAGGAGCTCTGGGGCTGTGAATTTAGGCACTGGATCAAAATACTGTTTCTAGGGGCTGGGGATTTAGCTCAGCGGCAAAAGCGCCTGCCTGGCATGCGCAAGGTCGTGAGTTCGGTTCCCGGTACCGGAGAAAAACCAAAAAAACAAAAACAAAACAAAAACAAAACCAAAATACTGTTTCTGACATAACACTAAAATCCTTCAGGCAGCCAGGACGGTACATAGGAACCACATTATGTAAGGAAGGATTGAAAAAATGGAGAAGTTCTGCTCCAAGAAATGAACGGAGAGTACAGAAACTCCTTTCAAATGTCCGAAAATCTGTTGCGGGGTTTGGGGGAGGAGTCACCCTAGTCAGGTTCCTTGTAGTAACGGCCTGTGTTCCCACGGCAGAACCAGCATCAGTTACAACCCCAGAAAGGGCCCAGTTCTGGAGTCTGAACGCTGCAGAGCAGTGGGGTGACCAAGTGCTGGGCACGCGGAAGACGGGGCCCGGAACTGCTCAGAGATGGGGTCAGGCGCCCGCGAGGCGGGATGCTAGCTTTGTGAACAGACTCCTTCCTAATGATGGAGTGACCAGCAGCCCTGCACGGCCATCGAGCAACTACAGGGACAGCGCTGGCTTCTGCCTGAGCCCGGGCAGGTCCTAAGCCATGCGGCCCTGAGCTCTGGGCTGCTTTGCTGTGATAAGGCAGTGCTGTTCTTCAGCACCCGTCACCCAAAAGGGCTATGAAAGCTATCGTTTCAAGGGGTGAGGGTCGGGGGCAGAGGAACTAGGCATAAGAATTTCACTTTCAGTGACAAAGCTATCTTTCCAGTAGGAAATTCAGAAACTTTATAGCTATACAGCATAACCGCCGCACATACCCAGCCTTTGATTACACTTGGCTTTTGCTCACTTGACTCTATTCTTTTTCTATCATCACCAGCATGGTGTTTCTTAAGCCACTGACCTTCAGTTAGCAAAGCATAAAACCACTGACCTTGGGCCGGGGATATAGCTCAGTGGCATAAGCGCCTGCTTGGCAAGTGCAAGGTCCTGAGTTTGATTCCCGGTACCAAAAAAAAAAAAAAAAAAAAAAAAAAGAAAAAAAAAACAACCACTGACGTCATGCCCACCACCAGTGCGCATGTGCAGTTCCCACCTAGCTGGCGGCACTAGGTCAGGAAGGAGCGGTGACACCTGGAACGGGGAAATGCCTATTCCCTTCCTACCCAGTCTGAGCCACCTGGGCGTCCCTGTTGACAGAGGAGTGGACACATGCTAACGGATTGGGAAAGACTGAAGTCACCCGCGATAAATAATGTTCCTGAAGCCACACAGCTTATTTTTAAAATTCAGACTGAGATGTTACTCTATAATCTAGCCATGTTTATTTCAGTAAAACAATGTTCTGATGGGGCTGGGCATGGTGGCGCATGCCTGTAATCCCAGTACTCAGGAGGCAGAGGCAGGAGGATCACTGTGAGTTCAAGGCCAGCCTGGGCTACAAAGTGAGTACAAGGCCAGCCTGAACTCCACAGCAAGACCTTGTCTCAAAAAGACAAAAAAAAAAAAAAAAAAAAAAAAAAATCCCTCCCAAATATATGAGAAAAGTGGTCATTCCAAGCAGATGTGCAAATCAAACCAGGGGCTTGAATTCTTGGCACATGTGGCCCCGCTGTTCCCCCACTTGCTGTGCTTGGGGGTGAGAGAGGAGGCCACCTGCTCGTTTCTGCTGGTGAGCCTGGCCTCCTGGCTGGAGCCAGAGCTGAGCAACCTGGGAGTCTGAACTGACACTGAGGGCTGTCGCTGGGTCTGGGCTACTGGCTGGGACCGACACCACGTACACTCAGGACAGGGCAGAGTCATGTGCACAGAAAAGCGTGACCATTGGGTCTTCTGGAGGAAGCGGGGAGCAGACTGCAGGGGAAGCAGAGATGGGGGACACTGCCGCTGCAGACAGAATGGGAAGGGCCTTGCTTCCAGACTGGTCCCAGTGCCTGGTGGGGGCTGATGCCGTTTCCTGGCCTTCGCTTCTTGGATTCCCTGCCCCTCGCGCCCTTTTAATAAATTCCCCTCTTGTTGGAGAGGAGGGGAGAGCTGGGAGCACACAGGGCAGAGGAACGGAAGTTTTGGAGGCGGATGGCAGGTAGTGAGAGACAGGATGAGCGCAAGGACAGTATGTGAACCATCTGTAGCTCACACACACCCTTGTCTGGCAGGGGCTCAGGCCCTCAGGTTCACCTGATCGCCACGTCTTGAGCTCAGCCAGCTCTCCCAGCCTCGAATCTGCCCTCTCCACCTGCACCCACTCACCTGCCACACAGATGTCAAAGTAGTCCCCAAAGTCACTTCGGATGTGCTTCACCAGATCTGTGGCATAGTCGAAGCCTCCTTCCTCCGATTCCCACTGGCCACCTAGGGGGTCTGCAGAGGTGCTGGAGGTCATGGCTACTGGGTTTGCCGACCTCCAGAGGGCCTCTTTGTCCTCCGCCCACCCCTCCACCTGGGGCAGAGCTTCTCCGTAAGGATCTCCTTTCTGCTACCTAGTAGCCGGCAAGCAGAACGACAAGGAAAGCAGCCGGCCCGTCATTGTGTACAAGGCGCCGTGCTCCAGGTAGAGCCCAGGAGATAGAACCCACTGAGCCTGGAGAACTGGAGGTCCCTCACCTGGCCCTGCCACTTTGGGTGTGCTTGGGTGCCCTTCCCCACCCCTCCTGCTTACTCCCTGACATCTCGCAGCCCTAGCCTCCCGGGAGAACTTTCTACCCATCTCATGCGCGAAGTGGCCCTCTGGTGGAGCACGCGGGGGCACGCGCTCCCTCCTCATGAGGTTTCCTCCACCCACTCCCAGGTGGCCTGATGACAGCGGGCCCTCCTGCCTCAACGCCAGGGCTGCACTCCGTGACCGGGCCAAGTGCAGCCAGGGGATGGGGCTACCAGGCCTTGGCCATACTCCCGCTTGGCCTATATCCAGGTCTACAGGTGGGGGAGGCAGTGTCCATGGTGGACTCTCTGCCCACAGTGCCCGCTGATCTGCAGGCAGGAGGGGACCCTGACTGAGCACACCTAGTGGGGGGCCCTGTTCCAGAGACAGAAGAGGCCTTGGGAAAGAAGAACCCCAAGAGACAGCAATGCCGGCTCCATACCTCCCCGCAGCGCCAAGATGTTCTTGATGCCCAGCTGCTTGGCTTTATATAGGTGGCCCGTGATCTCCTCCGGGCTATGCTGGCAGCAGGTCATGTGCAGCACAGTTTCCAGGCCACAGTAGTTCACAGCCGTGCTGGCGATCATCATGGAGGACGTCTCTTTATCTGAGCCAGGGTCCCCTGCTGGGTGCCAGGTCACATCTATGAAGAGGGGGCCACCTGTTGCCATCTGGTCAAACCTGTAGGGGATTTCACTCTGAAAAGAGGCTCCTGGGGGACCCTACCCTCCGACTCCTGCTTGTGTGCCCTGGACGCTGGATCGTACAGGTGCAGGCTGGAGGCAGAGCAACCTGTGTTCATCTACCTCTGCGTTCTTCAGCACATTACTTAAATCCCTCTGAGCCTTAGTTTCCTTATTTGTAAGACATGGCAAGCTGGGTGTGGTGGTGTGTGCCTGTAATCTCTGCACTTGGGAGGCTGAGGCAGGAGGATCGCCATAAGTTAGAAGCCAACCTGGGCTACACAGTGAGTTTAAGGCCAGCCTGAACTACACAGTGAGACCCCGTCTCAAAACAAAACCAAAAACAAAACAAAAATAAAAGGCAGCAGTTGCACAGTACTTAGAGCCTGGGGTACACACAGTGCTCGGCAAGTGGGAGCCAGGATTACTATGGTTACAGAGATCATGTGTACCACCACCACCACCGTTCTACGAGAGCAGCACTGCACACCGCAGCCCGGTGCTTGCACACTGATAATCTCGAGCGAGTTTAGACATTCCAACGGCTGAGAGTGGGGGAGGGGCTCCGCAGCGGCAGGCAAAGCCTCACTCCCGGCACGGGAAAAGGAGGGTCAGCAGACGCGGGTTTCTTTTGTGTTGCCTCCCTGGCCCCAGTGCAACAGCCAACAGACCCGCAGAGCAGGGCTACACTCCTGAAGGAGACCCAAAGGCCTGTACCAAAAACAAGTTTGGTGCTCACCTGTAATCCCAGCCCGCTGGGAGGCAGAGAATCACAAGTTTGAGCCCTATGTGGGCAACTCAGAGACTTAGAGAGACCCTGTCTCTAAATAAAAAATAAAAAGGTAGGGCTGGGGGTATTGTTTAGTGCAAAGGCACTGAGTTCAAGCCCCAGTACTGCAGAAAAAATAAAAAATTTTAACAAGGAAAGAAAGCCTGCATTTGTCCAGCATTTGTGTTACAAGTTAGAACCGTGTTTTGTAGCTGGGGTTACAGTTGTGCATATACGGCTGTATTAAATGTTCTTGTACCTTTAAATTTCAGAACTGTGGGAGCAACACAGGAGAAGCACAAATAGTAAAAGGCATAATTTTTTTTAAAGAAGGAACTCAAATTCATAAACTGCTCATGTCACTCATTTGGTATTTCCAGATTTCAAGAGGCATCGTCCAAATTCCCAACTTGCTGAAAACACCCTCTGAGTTGCTCTTTGTGATTTCCTAAACCATGCGTGATCTAGCCCCAAGTTCCGCCAAAGAACAGTCTAAGAAAATCAACACTTTTAACCCATTAAAGTGTGTCTAAGGGCCGGGGATGTAGCTCAGTGGCATAAACGCCTGCCTGGCAAGTGCAAGGTCCTGAATTTGATTCCTGGTACCAAAAAAAGTGTATCTAAAGATACCTGATGCAGAAACACAGCTATCACCCGGAAAGCAAACAACAACAAATGCTAACTAAGCTACAGGGGAAAAAAGAACCCCTTTACACTGCTGGAGGGAATGCAGCAATGATTTGGGAACGCAGCTGGGAATGCAGCTGGAGGGAATGATTTTCCTTATGGAAATCAGTATGAGGAAAACTACTGGTGAGGGAGGCCTGTAATTCCAGCACTTGGGAGGCTGAGGCAGGAGGATTGCACCGAGTTTGAGGCCAGCCTGGGCTACATAGTGAGACCCTGTCTCATAAAACTAAACCAAACCAAAAGAAAAAAAACTAAAATAAAAATTCCATTTGATCCACCTATTCCCCTTCTGGTTATCTTCCTGAAAGAGTGAAAGACATATTATAGGGATACATGGATGTCCACGTTCAGAGCAGCACAACTCATTACAGAAATCATGGAATTGGCCTATATGTCCATCAACAGATGAGTGGATGAAGAATATGTGATACTTATACATGATGGAGTATTACTGTGCCATAAAGAAGGATAAACTTGAGTTATTTGTAGGAAAATGGATGCGCCTTGACACTGTAATATTAAGTGAAATAAATCAGACACACAGACTTAAATATTGCACGGTCTCTGTGAGAAACCTCAATATAAATAAAGAGCAAAATAAAGGTAGATAACAGGAAATAGGGAGATAGGTCTTTTGCAAATGGGAAGGGAAGCCAGAGATAGAGGGAGGTGGAGGGCAGCTACAAGTGGAGAGAAAGGCATGGAAAGAATTAAGATGTGGGGGCTGGGGATTTAGCTCAGCAGCACAGCACCTGCCTGGCCAGTGCAACGCCCTGAGTTCAATTCCTGGTATCAGAAGAAAAACAAAAAAACCAATCAAACAAAGAATTAAGATGTGTTATCCGTGAGCACCAACTCCACACAAGGAATGCGACCATTACGTAATAACAAAAAGATTAAAATTAAAAAAAAAAAAGACACTCCAGCCGGGCGTGGTGGCTCATGCCTGTAATCCCAGCACTTGGAAGGCTGAGGCAGGAGTACTGCTGTGAGTTCGAGGCCAGACTGGGCTACAAAGTGAGCTCAAGGGCAGCCTCAACTGCAAAGTGAAACCCTGTCTCAAAAAGACAGGAAAAAAAAAAAAAACCACTCCCCAAACCCCCATATCTGATGCTGAGGCGCTTTTAGGGAGAACTCGTAAGATGCATATCAAATGACCGCTCCCATCCTTCTGGCACCCTCTGGCTGCCTTTTCCTGACAGGTTAAAGGGCAGCTGTGGGCAGGGCTGACAGCACCCCCACCCCCGCCCCCCAACCCCTCCCCTTTCTGCGGCTCACATGGAGAGGAGGTTGGCAGCTCCCTCCGCGGTCCGGGGAGGGAAGAATTCCAAGGAGAACCATTTGTCACCGGCTTCCATCCTCCGCCTCATCTTCTCCCGGAGCCTCTCCCGGCGCTCGGGGTCCAGGCTGGGGGTGGAGCATCGCGAACTGTCCTTGGAGCCCTCGCTGCCACTGCTGACGCCGCCGTCCCCTCGAGCCTCGCCGCTGTTCACCATGGCCCAGGCGCTGCTGCACGGGGCGGGGCAGGGGCATCAGAAGGCGAGCAGTGGGGCCTGAGCGGCAGGTTCAAGCGAGGGACACGGCATTTCTACGCAGCAGGGAGGCTGACGCTGGCCCTGCCCGGCGGCTCCATGCTCCACAGTAGGGCCCTCTGCTGCTGACGGCCCCCGCCCGCATTGAAACACGCTCCTTCAGCTACCTGGTGGGGGGTGGCACAGAGAACCTCGAGATGCCAGCCCTCGAGGCCCACATTCCCAGGGAGGGGCAGTGGGGCCCAGCTGCAAGGACCCTGGCTTTTCCACAGTCCATCTCGGCCACCTTAGTCCCAGAGTGAGTGGGGAGGGAACAGAGGAACCTTCCTCCGCGGGTGTGCCTAGCTGGGCGGAGCTGTAACAAAGGAAGAACAGGGCCGAGGCCTGCGAGAGGGGGCGGAGGCAAAGGCTCCGGGGCTCCAGCGAGGGAGGGGAGGGCGCTTGACCAAGGAGAAGAGGAAAAGACGCTGGGAGGAGCGGGGAGGGGCTGGAGCTGCAGGGGTTGGTGGAGATGAAGTCAACAGACATTTAGGGTCATTAGGTCCCTCTCCAAAGAAGGAAGGGCTCTCTGGCTGGCGCTGCCCGGAACATCTCAGTTACAGTGTACATGCAAGACGGAAGGGGTGAGGACTTAGCCAGGCAGCCAGATTTCCCGAGCTCACGCTGCTCCAAAAAACCCACTGCGATATGGGTTAGAGCACAAGGCTGGCTTGGTTCCAAAAGGAGCAGATTGAGTTCACAAGGGCACACATTTATGTGCAACTCGGAACAGAAGCTGTCCCATCTGGGCCTGCCTCGCAGATGGTTCTTGCGCATACCACTGAAGTCCGAGCGGTCGCAGCGAGGGCAGAGCCACCATACAGGGAGAAGGGCACAGCGCCACGTGGCAGTTTGGTGGGGAAGATAAGACAAACACTTAAAAACAAAATGAAACATGAGGCTTGCTCAGCATGGCAAACAGTAGTGAAAATCAGTGTGTGGATCAACAGGAAGGATGGGTCAGGTCCATTCCCACAGGGAACATCTGCCCCCTAAGCGGGTATTCTTTACCAGTTTGGGCCCTGGAGGATCACGGGCCCCACTGCGCCCCTTCGCCCTGAATCACACAAGTGCGTGGAATACACCCGGGTGCCCCTGAAGGCAAGGCGCTGACTGCAGACTAACAAGCCTCGTGTCAGTGCTTTCTCTCCTGCTTTGATTCCGACTGGGAGTATGGCTAGGTTAAGTGTTCGCCTAGCACGCGTGAGGCCCTGAGTGCCGTCCCCAGCATCCCAAAAACACTCTGGCACCATTCTCCTCGACCACCGTGAAGTAAGCACCTTGCTTCACCACGTCCTTCCTCCACGTTTCTGCCTTGGAACTGGCCAGCTGCAGACTGGATCCCCTGAAGCTGTGCTCCAAGTTAAAACTCTCCCCCTTTAAGTTCTGGGTGCTGGGTACTGCGTCCAGGGACCGGAAAGCGGATTAAAACACTCCTGATTCTCAGTGAGGGGTGAGAAAAGGGGTAATGGCAGAGCAGCCAGCTGGCCTTCCTCCTGCCTTCAAGGGAGTGCCTAATTAGCTGCCTGCTGGAACAAAACCGAAAAGCGCAGGCGGTGATACCGCTTGCAAACTGTCTGCTCTTCAAAGGCTGTTTCCCCCGTGTGTGCCAGGCGCGTGCCCTCTTTCAAACAATACCCACCATTTCTCCATTTTAAACTGGGCTGCCACAGCATCCAGGGTTCTAACTGTGTAAGGGACCCAGACGCTGGACCTGCAGATGCCCAGTAGGTACCAAAAAGCAGGATAAAGCTTGACATCTCTGTCTTCATTTTTTTTTTTGTCACCTTTATTATGTAAAAACTTTGGGTCAAATCTCTGCTCAGAGCTTCACGCGGTTATGCTAATCACTTCAGGAACATCTGCAGTACAGGTTTCTCGGCACTAAATTGATCTAGCCTCTCTCCTCGCCCTTCAAGACTGAGGGAACCGAGAGTAAAGCAGTTTTCAGGGTTTGTGAAGACATCCAACCACCAGCTGTTAAAATGTGCTGTTCCAGACCTTCTGGAGCAATGCCTAGCAGACTCCAGGCACTGTCCTAAACCTGCAGTCGTCTTGGATTCCAGGAAATGGGGAGCCTCATGGACCAACCTATAATGAAGTCACCCCTCACCTAAGCGGGAGCAAATCACTGCATGCCCGGACCAGAGGCTGCTCCCAGTCCAGCAAGAATCACTATGTCATGGGCACCAAACTGCCCCTCAGGCCATAACGATTATCTGAGCTAAGAAACCAAGGCAGAGAATAATGAGACCCCAGCCTTGCCCCATAAAAATGGTCCCCATTCTTTTCTTGATGGGTTAGTTAGATTTTATCAACAGACCTGGGCCTCTTTCAGTTCCTTATGCTGAAGGCCTTTCTCTATTGTCTTTCACTTTCCTTGGTTAAGCAATAGCCTTGATCTTTGATCTCCTCAAGCTAAATTCCCTTTCTATTTTCTTTTTTGTTTGTCCCCCCCACCCACCCACCGGGAATCCAACTCACGACCTTGCACTTGCCAGGCAGGCGCTGTGCCGCTGAGCTAAATCCCCAAACCCCCCTTTTCTATTTTCTATGAATGTGATCATTATGTATACCTAAAATGTACCAATAAACTTAATTAATCGAAAACTAATGAAAACCTTGGTTGTTCATACTACAGCACTCAGGAGGCTGAGGTAGGAGGATCAAATCAAGTTCGAGGCCAGTAAAGTGAGTTCAAGGCCAGCCTGACCTGCAGAGTGAAACCCTGTCTCAAAAACAAACAAAACACACAAAACAATAAAAACACCTAGTAAAAGCTCTTTGCCTGAAAGTTCCGGTCTCAATTTTAATTTTTTTTGTTTGTTTTCCCCTCCGGTACCAGGAACCGAACTCACGACCTTGTGCATGCCAGGCAGGGGCCTTTGCCGCTGAGCTAAATCCCCAGCCCCTCAATTTTAATTTTCATTATCACTGAAGCAAGGACGCTAGCTAGCAAGCCAGTTTATCCACGTGACAACTGTGGGTTAATAAATTTGTCTCCCCTGGCTCCCTGAGACCAGGACCAGCACCCTGCCTACGGCATCCCCTTGCACAATCAAAACACCCAACGCTCAGCACCAACAGGGTGCTCAAATAACCCTCAGCCATTTGCTGAGCACTTTCTCAGACTGTCCGGCAGCACGGGGTTGCTCGGCCCACCACTCCCACAGTGGTGGAAGGGGACCTCAGTGTGCAGTAGGACGCAGAGGGCCCCAGGCCAGCAGTCTTCTCCAGGTGCTCAGGGGACACCAGCTTTAAGAAGCAAGGGCCTTTATCCCAGCTCTCTGGAAGGCTGAGGCAGGAGCGTGGCAACTCCGAGCCGAACCTGAGCAATTTTTCAATGAGACCCTGCCTTAAAATAAAAATAAAAACTGAGGATGTAGCTCAGTGGTGAGGTGTCCCTGGCTTTAATGTCAGTATCTAAGAAAAAGAAAAAGGCTAGGGCCAGCAGCCAGCCTGGGCGCCCGGGGAGCCCGAGGGAGGGAATCGGGTCACTAGGACACCGGTGGGGGCCGACATATGGGTCCAGGCCGGTGGGGGCAGGACGCTGGATCAGCACTCCTGGCTCAAGCGCCCCCCACAGCCCCTTCATATTCGGACCCCATCCGTCCAGGGTCGAGGGTCACTGGGGTAGTGGCCCCTGGGGTTACGCTCATCCCGCCGACGGAGCGCGGGGCGGCGGGAGCCCCCACTTAGAAGATCGGGATCACCTTCGGCGCACCCCACCTGCAAGCAGGTCTCCGCCCCTACAGAGGGTTCTCCTGCTACGGAGTTTCCCTCCCGGCCACCCCAGAAGTCCCCGGCACTCACCGTGCTATCACGGTGCCAGGATGCCCGCTCCCCGCAGCTGCGCTGCAGCAAAGCAGGTGCGTGCTGACAGGGCGGGGCGTGCCGGGCTCGTAGCTCAAACGGCTTGCCAAGGCAGGTGGGATCAGAGGGCGGAACCGCCCATGCAGGAGCCCGGAAGTCCCGCCTCCAACATGGCCGCGCCCTGTGGTTTCGCCGGAAGCCATCCCTTTATGGTCATGTGACGCGAGCCCTCGCCCCACCCGTCTGCAGCCACTCCCTGTCTTCGACCCCAAGCTGGAGAGGCACACGTGACCCTCCCGGGGCCAGTCACGTGAGGCTCGGGTCCTGGTTGGGAGGGGGTAGGCAGAGGGGTCCGGAGTGGCAGTAAAGGAGGAAGATGGCGGGTTGCAGGGGGTCTCTGTGCTGCTGCTGCCGGTGGTGTTGCTGCTGCGGTGAGCGTGAGACCCGCACCCCTGAAGAGCTGGTAAGGAGCGGGCGGGGCCGAGCTGGGGAGGGGGCGGTTGCTAAGGGACGGAGAGAGGCGTTGCCGGGGGTGGGGCGGCCCGCAGGTGGCAGCGGGTGGGGCCTGGGGACCGCATCCTGGCGCTAGAGCGTCTGCCCTGCTTCATGTGCCCGAATCAGAGGTCTTTTCTCATACCCTCTCACTGGAATCTGAGGGCGCATCCTTGCCAGTTCCAGTTGATCCCTTGCGTATCTTTTATTTGCATCTGAAAGGAGTTTTGAATGTAACACGCATTTTCAGAATGAGCCCTTTACAGGACTTGCGCTCGTAATGCAACTGGCTTAGTTTCACCGGTCCCTCTCCTTCTATCCTCACCCTTTCTGGGTCACTGACAGTCTGGCGTCCCTTTGCAAAGCAACCTGGGAACACTTGAGTTACTGTGTCCCCAGAGTTGACAGGTCTCGTCTTATTTCAGATTGACATGTTGTCAGATGGAACCTGAATTTTCTCCCCGTTAAGCTGGCATTGTATATCTGAGGTGTCCTGAGATGAGAGTGGATATTTGGAGAATGTATAAGTAGAAATGAAGAGTTAAGCTGGATTAGCCTCACCGCCCGCTCCCCAGCCCCCAAAGGGTTTTTTGATACTTTGTTCTTTTTGATCTAACTGATTTAGAAACTAGCGTTTGATTTTATACTTTTTCCCACTATTTGTGTCGGTGTTCATGATACTGAGAATTGAAGCATTCCCTTCACATTGAGCTACGTGCCCAGCCCCTTTTTATTTTTTATTTTTTGGGGGAATGGGAATCAAACTCAGGACCATGCGCTTGCCAGGCAGGCGCTGTGCCACTGAGCTGTATGCTGGGGCCTACATTTTTTCTTTTTTTTTTTTTTTTGGTCTTTTTGAGACAGGGTCTCCCTATGCAGTTCAGGCTGGCCTCGAGCTCGCTTTGTAGCCCAGGCTGGTCTCGAACTCTCAACCATCCTCCTGCTTCAGCCTCCTGAGTGCGGAGATTACAGTCATGCACCACCATGCCCAGCTCCATACATTTTTATTTTGAGACAGGATCTCCCTAAGTGGCTGAGTTGCCCAGGCTGGGCTTGAACTTTGTGATCGCTCTGCCTCAGAGTGCTGGGGTTACAGACATGTGCCAGCAGGCCTGGCTCTCCTGATCTTAACTACTAAAAAGGGCTCCCTTCTGTGGATCTCTTTTTCTAGACTATCCTTGGGGAAACACAAGAAGAGGAGGATGAGATCCTACCAAGGAAAGATTATGAGGTGAGCGCCATAGATGCTGTCTTCAGTAAGTAGTGAGTGAGTGGTAAGTTCAGGTGGAAGCAGTGATTCCAGCCAGAGATGCTCTTTTAATTTTGGTTTTTGTTTTTTTTTCCCCCCGGTACTGGGAATCGAACTCATGACCTTGCACTTGCCAGGCAGGCGCTGTGCCGTTGAGCTAAATCCCTAGCCCCAGAGATGCTCTTTTAACCTTCCATCGCAGATAGTGGGAGAGTTTTCAAACCCTTTTCTCACTGTACATGTGAGAAACATGATCTGGTGTCTGTACTTCTAGAGATCTGTAGACTCTTCACCTCGATAGAATATGTATTTGGCTTTAAATTGCTTTTACAAATTATAGAGTCAAAGCTGTGGACAATCTATCTTATAATAAGCACATGCTCATAACTTATTAAGGAACCTTGGTTCTCATCTGAGACCTTAGTTTTCAGATGATTATTTCCCACCTGGGCAGCTTCTCCATGAAATGCTCTCGATTGTAGTTTCCAGTTTCAAGTATGGGACTCGTACCATACTCTTACATACTCTTGTGTGTGTGTTTTTAGCGAGGCTAATAATGCTGCTGTATGAAACTGACTTTTTACTTAATCGGTTTGTGATGACTTTTTGTATAAAGTTTGAAATGACAAAAGCAAGCCGTGATTATAGATAATTCTTAAAACTACTTACAAGAAGGAAGAGAAGGTTGAACTACATAGCAAGACCTTGTTTAAAAAAAATAGGGAAGAACCTAGTTCTACTAAGTACACTATTTTAACTTGCCCTCCCAGCAACTTTTGTATTGCTACTTTTCTACAATATCTTAAGTAGGGGAGTAAAATTTTATTGTGCCAGGGTCTGTTTCATTAATCCATCTTGTTTTCCAACATTTTTGTAATGCACTGCGTAGTGGTGAACATCAATCCTTTCTTGTCCATTTTTAATTGCTTCCTTAGGATTAATTTTGAGAAGTGGAATTAACCATATCTATGTTTAATGCATTTTTTAAAATGTCATATAGAGTAACACCCCTGACTGATTTTCTTTTAAATATTTTACCTTAATTTTTTGTTTGTTTGTTTGTTTGTTTGTTTTCTGGTACTGGGAATCGAACTCACGATCTCCCGCTTGCCAGGCAGGCGCTGTGCCGCTGAGCTAAATCTCCAGCCCCTTCACCTTAATTTTGCTCTAGAATTTAGTGCAAACATTAGGATTTGTGGTATGGCATGGAATTAAAAAAATTTTTTTTCCTTATGCAGAGTTTTTTGTTGTTGTTACCAGAAATCCAACTCAGGACCTCAGGCTTGCCAGGCAGGCAGTGTGCTGCTGAGTGGTATCCCCGGCCCCTATGCAGAATTTCATACCTGTAAATAATGGACAGACTAGTATATTGATCCCTGCTTCTTATACACAGCTTCAAAGTCTGTTCACTTCATTCTCAACCTTGTTTTATTGATGCTGTCGTCCACTTCTCCCTTCTGTATTATTTTGAAGGAAATTCTGTACATGGTATCATTTCACCCTTAAATAATTCAAGTTCATCTCAAGAGGATAAGAACTTTTTTAGTGTAACCATACCATTATTGTTTCTAAAAATTGTTCCTTGATAGCCAGTGTGCACATTTCCCAGTTTTCTTATAAGAGTCATGTGTATTTTAAGTTCGTGTCAGGTTCTGAATAAGGTCCTCACATTGCATGTTTGCCATATCTTTTACAAGTCTCTCTGAACCCGTAGTTCTCCACTTCATCTTATTTTTCTCCTTTTGTAATTTGTTTGACAGTATAATTAGGACTCTGGAATGAATGGTTCTACTGTCTGGATTTTGCTATTTGTACCACCATGGTATAGTTTAATATATGACTCTGATGGGAATTGCTTTTAATGAACCAAAAAGCATTATGTCCCCTGGTGTATTAATAATATATATTATACTTTTTTTGTGTTTTTTGTCTTTTTGAGACAGGGTCTCGCTATGCAGTTCAGGTTGGCCTGGAGCTCACTTTGTAGCTGCCCAGGCTGGTCTCGAACTCACAACGATCCTCCTGCCTCAGCCTCCTGAGTGCTGGGATTACAGGCGTGCGCTACCAAGCCAGGCTTTTTTAAAATACATTTTAAGTGTTTGTTTCACTGTATATAGTTGAGAGGTTAGCAAGAAATTAGTACAAGATGCTTCCTGCCCCATTAGCCTAACTGTCCTGCCACTGTGGAGGCTCCTGTCCAGGGAGCTCATCCAGGCTTGCCTATTGACCCAGACTCCTTTGCTCTTTCCACTACATTGCATTTATATTTGTAGTACACTTGCCATCACCTGATCAGCGTATTCATGTACATTATATGGGTAAGTATTCTTTCCTGTGAGTCATTAGTATTTCCCACTTAGCCATCTCCTCCTATGAGCTGCTCGAGAGCATTTGCTTTGTATTAGACCAAATTCAGTTGGGCGCTTACTGAAGCAAGGCTGCTCAGATTTTACTCAAGGGTCAACTAGAAAACTTGGCTCAGGGATTTAGCTCAGTGGAGCAGCACCTGCCTGGCAAGCATAAGGTCCTGAGTTTGATTCCTGGTACCAAAAAGACCCCCCAAAACTTAGAAAACCCTTCTGTTGAAAGTCTCTCTAAAGTCTGCTCCTCCTTCCGGCCCCAGGAATTCATTGCACATACTCGACCCTTTCCTTGCTAAATTGGGTGGTTACAGATGTTAGAATTCCCATTTTGACATCCTCTCTCATTATGGGTGGTTTAAATAAGAACTGCCCTTCTGTTAGATGTGCTGTAGGAAGCAATACCGTTTTCATGCCAGTCACAGCCAGTGTGACTTTCCAGTTGGAGAAAGGGTCTCCTGGGAGCGGCAGACTGAGAGGCCATAGCCACACCCCTGGGCTACAGCCTGCTGAAGGTTCTTCTTGTGTGAGCGCTCAGTCCACCTTCCTGGTTGAATTTGAGCTGTCAGCTCCCATTTGCCCCCATGGCCAGGTACTGTTTAGCTCATACCCACAAGCAGCAGCCCTGTGGAACACATATAAAATTTTTATTTAAAAAAAAAAAAAGCTATTAGTTCCCCCACACCAGAGAGCAACATACGTAGCAGAAATAAAAAGAAGTTAGTTATAGCAAAGGAGAAAGAACAGTCTCTGGTCTTACTAAATCATATATCCCCTTGCTACATCTTCACAGTGTCAAACTCAACGGAGTTATTTTTTGATAAAGCAAAGTGTGGTGTTTTGCTGTTGCAGTTCTAAAAAGGCGAAAGATTTATACGATCTGAAGAGAAACCAGAGTATGCTGTTGCAGTTTGAAATACCCTTTTTAGCAGCTTAATTGAAGTATAATGCACATGCTAAACATCCATTTAAAATGTATAACTCAATGGCCTTTTTTTAGAAAAATTCACAGAATTATGCAGCTATCACTGAAGTTGTAGAACATTTTCATCACTCCTGAAAAAAAAAAAACCTGTTCTCGTTAGCATCCATCGCTCATTCCTGTACACCACAGATCATCTTTTTGTCCCTGTAGATTTAACTTTTCCCGTCCTTTACAAATGTTTAGGGAGCTTAGTGTAGCGGGCAGAAGACCATTGCTTTTCCCTGCTGGAGGTTTGAATCTGAGTCTGAGAAATACACTGGCAGTAGACAGATGTGGAGGAGAAAGTGTGTCCATGTGCCGAGCATCGCAGGAGAGCCAGTATCCAGTGCCCAGTGGATGCCAAGCTTGTGCGCCTTCTTCATGGGGGTTGGGGAGCAGGATAAGGCAGTTCTGGAGGAAAAGTAAGTGAACTTCAGGGGAGATGAGAGCCTGAAGAGCAGACAGTTGCCTAGCTTGGAGCTTGCCTGGCTCTGGAGTAGTGTCACCGCTGTCTTCCTTCCTTCCTGCTGTGCCTCCTCCTCCTTCCATCTCCCTGTTGATACCTGGGGAAGAGGTTCACAGTGGGGACTGCAGTGTGGAAAATCCGGCCTTGGCTAGAGCGGGGGACTTCAGAGAAAGCCCTCATCTGCATTTGCTGCCTGCTTCTGGTGCTCTCAGTTTGAAGTCCAAGGGCCACCTTGTAGGTGGGCTCTGAGCCCCAACAATAGTATTGCTAGACACAAACCAGCCAGCGAATAATTACTTCACCAGTAATTTCTCTACAGGTTTGGTGTGAAGGTAAGAGGAAGAAAACAGCCTTTTTCCCTGTACTCACACCCCGCTTGACTCATGTCGGACACCAGATGTGTGGGGTTGTTTCCCTTACACCAAGCAAGCTGTTTTCTGGTGGATCCAGCTAGGCTCCTGTGAGACTGTCTGCTTGGAGGTGGCAGGAGATGAGGGCCCACGACGCTCTCATTCCAACCACGCTCTCCTGAGCTTACCTTGCTGGAGCTGCTCACCAAGCTCAGGGAAACGCTTTACTTGTGTTTGCCGGTTTATTAATAAAGGGTGTAGTAAAGGACGTGGGACAGCCGATGAAGAGCTGCACAGGGCAGCGGTGTGGCAAGGAGGGACTGCAGGGCAGGCCCCTCAGCCCCCATGTGTTCAGCAGTCAGGAAGCTCTCCAATCCCAGTGCCTTTGGTTTTTATGGAGGCTTCATTACATGGACCTACCTGATTGATCCTATCCCTGGCCGTTGGTGATCCACTTAACCTGCGGGCCCTCTCTTCCCCACAGGCTGGGGGTTGGGGATGGAGGTTCCAACCTCCTAATCATGCCTCGGTCTTTCAGTGGCTGTCCGAGTCCCAAAGCTACCTGGGAGTCCCAGCCAGCAGGGTTTTTATTAAGGTACAAAAGACACCCACACACTGGAGATTTCCAGGGTTTTAGGAACTAGATACCAGGTATGGGACAAAGACAAAATACGTATTTCCCAGCATCACAGAAGGATATTGATATTTTTCTGTGTTTTATGTTTGCTGCTGGCATGCAGTATTGCTAGATTTTAATTTTCAGGTAGTGTGTGTACATAGGTGCTTATACACCTACCTGTATGTGTACTTTGACCCTCACTGATGAGTCTGCTTTGCTGGAAGAATTCTGCCCTCACTGGGGTTGCTACCCTTCCTGGGCGCTTGGGATAGCAGCTAGTGCCTCAGGCAAGCTGGCCAAGGGCTCCATTGACTCCATCCCTCCGTCCCTAGCCTTTTTTTTTTTTTACTATTATTTTTTGAATTTTGAGACAGCATCTTGCTAGGTTCCTCAGACTGAACTTGAAATTGCAGTCCTCCTGCCTCAGCTTCCCAGAATGCTGGGATTATTTCAGGCATATGCCATCCCACCCACTTCCCAAACCTTTTTATTTTATTCAGAGACAAAATCTGCTAAATTGCCCAAGCTGGGCTAGAACTCTGGGTCCTCTTGTCTCAGCCTCCTGAATGGCTGGTATTACAAATGTGTGGCACCATGCCCTGTAATGTTTTTTATATTTTTGCTAACTTGATAAATTACCGAGGCTGGGCTCAAATTTGTAATCGTCCTGTCTCAGCCTCCCAAACTGCTGGGATCATAAATGTGCACCACCACATCCAGGATGACTTCCTTTATTTGTTAGTGTATCTTGCTTGTTTGCTACATAAAAAGTTTTGGACATTTTCCATGTCTGCCTATATAGACACAATGTAGTGCTCTATTGCTGTATAACCTTTTATCTTTGCTTATATGATAATTGATTTAACCAGTCACCTGTTGCTGCTCCAGGACTTCTAAAGAAAGGGATCTGGACTTCTTCCAGGCAGTCAAATAAGTGGAACAAATTGTCACGCAGCACATCTGTGTTTGGCTGACTGGAAATTACTGCCTAGGACTTTGGCCCCTGGGCTAATGTCCAACTTGTTCATTAGCTGACGTGGCGGTAGGGACAGGTGATGGGAAAGAGTGAATTCATGTTGCTTTTCTTTATTAGCAGACTGTGCTTCTCTCTCTGTCTCTCTCTGTCTCTCAGTGTCTCTCGGTCTCCCTGTCTCTCTCTCTCCCTCTCTCTTTCTCTCACTGGGGACAGAACCCATGGAGCACTGAGCTATACTCCAGCCTTATTTATTTATTCGCAGTACTGAAGACTGAACCCAATACCTTTGCACTGAGCTCCATCCCCAGCCCTCTTGTTAGTTCTTATTTTAAGGCAAGGTCTTGCTGAGTCACCATTCGCCCAGGCTGGGCTCAAGACTTTTGATCCTCCTGCCTCAGCTTCTTAGAGTGCTGCAGTTACAGGTGTGCGCTGTCACACCCAGCTTCTGCTGTTTCCCTTCCAAGACAGAGAAATAAAATCATCTCCTCTGAACTGTTCTCCAGGTGTCTGTGGCATAGCTGCAAATGGCTTGAAGCGCATCTGTGTAGGAACACTGCATTAGATGTGGACTCTGTGGGAGTTGCCGGAATCTGGGCCTCCTCTGAGCATAAACTGGAAGTTGTTTTTAAAAATAGTCGCCATGTTAGTCTGTCTTGGGACTCACCTCACTTGCATAGCAGCCACCTAGAAAAGATAGTTACACATTGTCTTTCTGGATTAACTTGATTCTGGTCACCGAAGCTTTTGTTCCGTCTCCTGGAGTAAGCTGGTCAAGGCTGGTGACAGCTGGAGGCCTTTCTTAGGCAGAAAGAAGACGATTGAAAGAAGGTGATGCCAAGCTTTTCTAGAGCCGATGCTGCTGATGCTTTCCTGAGGTCCACAGGTGGCCTGTGGAGCACAGCTTGGATGCTGTGGGCCAAGGCCCTGGGCATCTGTGTTCCTGAGTGGCTTCTGGGCCCTGCCCACCAGCGCATGAAGTAGCTGGACCCAGGAGCTTTGGCCCTGTTAGGCTTTCCGTACTTCTGACTTCCGGCTCTTGACTTTTTCACACACGTGTCCTTCTTTCAGAGCCTGGACTATGATCGCTGCATCAATGACCCTTACCTGGAGGTACTGGAGACCATGGATAACAAGGTGAGTCCACAGTCCTTGATCTCTCAGAACCGTTACAGGAATATCTTCACGATACAAGAACAGTGAACGCTAAGGGGCCAGGGGGCAGACTGTGGGTCTCCGGTTGGCAGGAGGAAGGTCCCGGGAATTACATGCCCGTATCTATAGTAAAATAGATACTCAGACTTCAGTAAAACAATGAAAGCAACCCAGGCCCCCTCCCCCCATGACAGGTCGTTCAGGACGCTCACAGTGGCCTGTAAGTGATGCCACCCGAGGGCCACCCACGGTTTCTATTTTCTTGGCAGTCGTCAGGTTTTTGCTGTAGTAAATTGACGTGGAACATCTAGGGAAGACAAGGACCTGCAGAAGGCGTCTGTAAGCGTCCTGAACGAACTGTCAGGGGGAGGGGGCCTGGGTTGCTTTCACTGTTTTATTGAAGTCTGAGTATCTATTTTACTCCATAGTTTTCTGGTTGCTGACTTCCCTTTACTAAGGGAAGGTCTTCAGATAGCTTGTCCTCTGAAAGCTCCAGTAAATGTCCCTACCCCCGAGACTTTTAACTCTTTCATGAGACACTGGCACGTAATTCCCGGGGCCTTCCTCCTGCCAACCAGAGACCCACAGTCTGCCCCCTGGCCCCTTAGCGTTCACTGTTCTTGTATCGTGAAGCACATGAGATACGAGACCTCCTCCTCACCACGCTTGCTGTGTGCGTGGAATTTGACTGAGACACGTTCCTTCCCCCCCTGCCAATGCAGCCCTGTAACCGTGGGAATTGTTCTTTTCCCTGTGCGCAGAAAGGGCGTAGGTACGAGGCGGTGAAGTGGATGGTGGTGTTCGCCATTGGAGTCTGCACTGGGCTGGTGAGCAGCGGGACGCGGGGGCGGTGGCCACTAGGGAAGGCCCTGGCCTGGAGGGTGCTCTTTGTCCTTTGTCACCACAACACTTAGAACATTGTAACAATTGTCATTGTAATCAAGATTGCTATTGTTTCTGTGTAGTTTTTTTTATTTTGTGCAGTACTCGGGATTCAACCTAGGCCCTTCCCACTAAGCTACATCCCCAGCCCTTTAAGATTTATTTTGGGGAAAGGAAAAAAAAAAAAAGATTTATTTTGAGATAGGGTCTCACTAAGTTGGTAAGTAGCCCAGGCTGGGTTTGAACTGGCGATCCTCCTGCCTCAGCCTTCCAGAATGCTGGCATTTCGGGTGTGCACCACCATGCCCCGCTTTCTTTTTCTTTGCTAATTAACAATCCTAGCCCAGGGTCTCACACTTTTCTTACTTTTGCATTATGAAATGAACCTGAAACCGTAGAACTCTGGGTTTTTTGAGCACTGAGGTTTGGCCAAATACCTGCCTTCTGATATGATTATGGGTCATAACCCGTAATCTCAGCCAGCCAGACCACATGCCTGCAGGAGATGACACAGAGGACGGTGTGCACGTCGAGTCCATGTTGAGATCACACTGTCCTGAGCTGCTCCTGCTTGTGCTGATCTTGTCTAGAAAGTAGAGCTGGCAGTCATGGGTAGAGGCTGTGCCTGGGCGAATAGGGTTTACCTCCTTTCTCTGGAGTTGTCACAGTCTCATATTTAGCACTCCTCAGTACGCTGATGCCGCCCGAAGGCCACCCACAGCTTCTATTTTCTTGGCAGTCGTCAGGTTTTTACTGTAGTAAATTGACGTGGAACGTCTACTAGGGAAGACAAGGACCTGTAGAAGGCGTCTGTGAACGTCCTGAACGAACTGTCATGGGGGAGGGGGCCTGGGTTGCTTTCATTGTCTTACTGAAGTCTGAGTATCTATTTTACTATATAGCCTTCTGGTTGCTGACTTCCCTTTACTAAGCATGTTTATCAGCTGTGTAATTGTGAGTCGTGCTGCTACTGTCCATCAAACTCCTTTGAATTTCCAGTTACCAGCAGTAGCAGCTTCTCCGCAGAAAGGCCACCTCCTTTCTAACGCAGCCGTACCAAGTGTCCTCTGATCTGTCACCACTCCTGCTCAGTGGTCGTGCTCTTCCAGGGAGTGGCTTGAGGGAAGGCCAGAGTTAAAGGCGGGGAGCCTTTGATTCTGACTGCATATGGTTAGGCCTTCTAGTTCTGTGAGTGAAATAGTGAAATGCAAGTTGTTTCCTCGATTCCAGTAACCACTGGCTATGGGATAGTTCTCAGTGAAAATAACGAGTTCTATAAAATGCTAGTAACAAACATAAGAAGCCATGTATGCCTAAGTAAACACTAGCTCTTCAGGCAGTATCCTGAGCTGTATGCTTATCCAGCTGAAAAGCCCCAGAGACGTGTTTTAACTGTCCTTTAGAATCCACCTTTCAAAAGAGTGGAGCGGTTCCCCACACGTCAGTATTGTTTTTAAGCGTGTTGATGGTTTCTTCCCTGGCCCCCTGTCTTTTTCTGCATCCTTTCCCTTGTGGTTTTACGCTGCTTCACCCCACTGAGCCGTGCCCTTTCCTCTGTGGTTTGGAGGGAGAGCGGGACAGGCTGGCGTCTGACTGCCAGGCACAGTTATTCACACGTTGTCGGTTGGTAACTCAAGCAGCTGCCTTCAGTGCATGGAGCGGGGTGATGCCTCGGGGGGAAGCCGTGTGCTGCCCCGGGAATGAGGCCGTGTGATGCCTTTCTCGCTCTTCACAGGTCGGACTCTTCGTGGACTTCTTTGTGCGACTCTTCACCCAACTCAAGTTCGGAGTGGTTCAGACATGTATCCTTTCCATGGCTGCACGGTGCCCAGACTTCTGAGGTCTCTGACACTCTCTCCAGGTGTGGGCCTCACAATGAACGTGATATCTGCAGGGTTGCTTATTAGCCTTTCAGTTTGAGGGTTAATTGTCATCAGAGATTACAAAAGGAAGACGTCAGTGGATAGACCTGTGTGTGTGGTTGGTAAGAGGCATTGTCACAAAGCTGCCTAGTCTCCCAGTCTATAAATTCAGTGTTCTAATCAAGACTCCAGTAGAATGTATTATGGAGATTTAAAAAATCTTCTAAATGTATATAGACAAGCAAAGGGCCAAAAGCGGTTGAGAAAGTTTTGAACAACAGGCAAATGGATTTGCCTTCCTAGGTGTCAAGACTTTCTTTTTTTCTTTTTTGAGAAAGGGTCTCACTATGTAGTTCATGCTGGCCTTGAACTATATAGCCCAGGCTGGCCTCGAACTCACCACAGTCCTCCTGTCTCAGCCTTGTGAGTGCTGGGGTTACAGGCATGAACCACCACACCCAGATAAAATTTAAGATACAGTAATTGAAAGAGCATCGTATTGATACAGGAATACCCAATTAAACCAGTGGGACGATAATAGAGAATTAGAAATCCATTCTGCATAGAGAAATTTGATGAATGACAATATTAGCCATCAATGTGGAAAGGATGAATTATTTAATAAAATATTCTGGGACATTGATTATCCATATGCAGAAATAGGTTCCTATTCATCTTATAAATAAGCTAAAGTCTAGACAATAAGCAAAACAAAGCCTTAAGAGACTAGGTGATACCGAAAGCAGAGAATAAGGGCCGGGGGTATAGCTCAGCAGCACAGCGTCTGCCTGGCAAAGGCAAGGTCCTAGTTCAATTCCCAGTGCCAAAAAAAAAACAGAAAAAAGTAGGGAATAGTTTCTTAAAACCCTCGCAGGCATAGGCTGTAAGAGGAAAGGTCGATAAACTCGACTACATCAAAGTAAATATTCCACTTATAAAGGGAATTTAAAAAACCCCAAACAACAACACTAAAGCACCATAGGTAAAGTGAAAAACAAATTCTCAATCAGTCTCCAAAATACAGAAAGAAAAAAACAATCCCGACAGTCCAGTAGAAAAATGGGAACAAGTATGAACAGGTTCTCAGAGGAGAAAACCTGAAAGTTAGTAAGCTACGAGAAAAAAGTGAGAAGGTGCTATTCTGTGACTCACAAGTTCCTCCTCAGACAGGTTCCATCACACCCTTGCGATGGCAAGAAGGTGGAACCTCCGGCTGGGAGCATACTGCCCAGTCAGGTGGCCACGCTCAGGCTCCCTGGCCAGATCAAAAGAGGCTGTTTATCGAGGTAAAAAGGAGACAGGGTTTTCTCAGAGCCAGCTCTGAGGAGGTGGAGGTGTGTCACGGACACCTGTCCATGTCCAGGTGTGCTAGTGTCCTTTTTTGCAAGGAGCAGTGTGGGCAGGACGCAGGCCACAGAAGGCCTGTGCGGGCAGTGCCTGCGGCCACACCTCCCACTCCCTCGCCTCAGGGAGGGAAGCTGGGCTTGACCTGGCTCTGCTTTCTGCATTTTCTGTCCTCTCTTCGGGGCTGCAGAGGCCTACACTGGACGGAGTTTGGAAGCCACTTGTCTCTCAAGGAAAACAGTCTAAGAGTTCCATTGTGCAGTGCTGGTCACAGGAAAATGGAAAAGTTATGGTGCAATCATACCATGTGACTACACAGAAGATGTGAACCAGAGCTGTGTACATCCGTGTGGCTAATTCTCAAACACTTACATGTTGAGACAGAAAAGCAGGAGGCTGTGGAACATACATAAAGTACAGTATGAACAATGTGGATGTAAGAAAACATACAGGGAATTCAGCTTAGTGGCTTTTCCGAAGGAAGACAGAAGGGAAAAGTGGTTTTTGGTTTGTTTTTTGAGATGGAGTCTTTCCATGTTGCCCAGGCTGACCTTGAACTCACGATCTTTCTGCCCCAGCGTCCCCTTCTCATGTAGCAAGGATTACAGCACCTGGCTTTGATTTCCTTTTTAAAGGGTAGCTAATGTCTTATTTTAAAACTATGAGAAAATATGGCATAATACTGAGGTTTCTTTTTTTTTTTTTTGTCTTTTTGAGATGGTCTCGCCGTGCAGTTCAGGCTGGCCTTGAGCTCATTTTGTAGCCTAGGCTGGTCTCAAACTTGCAACGATCCTCCTGCCTCAGCCTCCCGGGTGCTGGGATTACAGGCTTGCGCCACCACACACAGCTCATACTGAGTTTTTTTTAAAGCTAGAGTTGTGAGCATATATCACTTTTTGTGGCATTTGAGGTATTCCATATTTGTACTTTTTTTTTGGAGACAGGAACTTGCTGTGTAGGTTTTTTGTGGGGGGCTGGGGGGGTGCCGGGAATCGAACTCACGACCTCACACTTGCCAGACAGGTGCTTGCACCACTGAGCTATATCTCCGGCCCCTCTTGCTGTGTAGTTTTGTCTGGCCTTGAACTCACTGTGTAGCCAGACTGGCCTTGAACTCACAAGAATCCTCCTGCCTCGGCCTCCCAAGGGCTGGGATTACAGGCATGGGCCAGAACACCTGGCAGGTACTACCTATTTTTTTTTTTTTGGTTTTTCTCTGGTATCGGGAACCGAACTCACGACCTTGCGCTTGCCAGGCAGGCGCTTTTGCCACTGAGCTAAATCCCCAGCCCCCGGTACTACCTATTTTTAAGTGGTTCCTATTGTAGATACTATCGCGGGCAGCTTTAAGACTCTTCATACGTGGAGAGCAGGAAGGTGTGCACCGGGCAGCCGCTGTGCCTTAGAGAGACGGGGCTGTTCCTTTTCCTGGGGTAAGAGGGCCGGCGAGGGCTGAGAGCACGTTTCCCTTGACTGAGGTTCTGCAGCAGTGGAGGAGTGCAGCCAGAAGGGCTGCCTTGCCCTGTCTCTCCTTGAACTCTTGGGTTTTAACCTGACGTTCGTCTTCTTGGCCAGCCTTCTCGTCCTAATCGAGGTGAGGTGGATGGAAATCGCCCGGTGAGTGTGAGGTTTGGGGCTCCCGCTCTTCACCCCTCCATCCCCAGTTCAAGGATGTGGGGAAACGTCCGGATGGAGCGCATGGGTTCCCACAGAAGGGCCCTCTGGCTCCGTAGAGGGGTTTCCGGAAGTAAAGGTTCTGCAGGGAGGTCAGCGGGGTAACTCCGGGTTAGGTTGGGCTTCTCCCCCGAGGCAGCACAGCGAATCAGCCAGAGGACCCGCGGGTCAGGACCACTGGGAGCGGGACACCAAGTTGATGGCTGACGGGCTCCCACACAAGGCAAACTCCCGGGGACCTTGTCGGAAGTGCACGCGATCCTGTGCCCCTGGGGGCTGCTGAATCCGGAGTCAGGGTGGGCCTGGCTTCTGTGACTAAACACACCTTCAGGTGACCCTGACGACACCAAGGAAGGCAGTGAGTCCCCGTGTCCCGCTTGCTGAAGGTAGAGCCAAGCACCGGCAGTTGGAGTTGACGGCTGTGTCTGTCTCCTGTCCCCCTCAGCCGGTGGCGGCGGGTTCTGGGATCCCTGAGATCAAATGCTATCTGAACGGCGTGAAGGTGCCAGGAATTGTCCGGCTGCGGACCCTGCTCTGCAAAGTCTTCGGAGTGCTGTTTGGAGTGGCCGGCGGTAAGGAGGACCTTCCGGCTCTTATCCTCGGGAGTCCAGGGCTGAGGCTGCCCGGAAGCATTCGGTGTGTAACTGAGGTGCACTGACGCTAGCCCGCCGAAGGGCCCGCCCTGCTGCTTTTGTCCGTAGGTTTTTAAATGCAGGCGCTGTTAGTGTGGTGCCACTCAGAGACGCCTGACACTCGCCCCATTGTTTTGAACTAAGCACATCTAGTTGGCTTAGAGTTGGCTCTTAGCAACGTCAGCGTGCTTTTTGTGCAAATCTTTCAGGCTGTGTGGGCCAAGAAGCAGCGCCAAGGATACGGTGTGGGTGCTTAGGTGACCATTTAGAGTGTACCCAAGGAAAATGTAAAAGCCATTCGTAGCTCCGGGACTGCAGTCCTAGGCCGGGGAGTGGGTCTGCACTCCGATGTGCAGACCTCAGCGGGACTTTAAGTGGAACTGGTTTGGTGGGGATTGGCTCTGCCTTCCGCTTAGACAGCCCTGTGCTTGTCTGCGGGTCAAGAGAAAGGTTTGTAGCAAAGGCCTCCAGAGCCAGAGGCCTCTGTGCTGACCGCTGTCTCTTTCTCTGTCCCAGGCCTCTTCGTGGGGAAGGAGGGCCCCATGATCCACAGCGGGGCCGTGGTGGGAGCCGGCCTTCCTCAGGTAAGGCCCCTGGGCTGGGGCTCCGTCCCGCAGAGCAGACTCCTGCCTGTCCAGGAACGTGGCTGGGCACGGATTGGGAACCCTTTGGGGTTTGGGGCCACCCGAACACGATCGTGGAGCCTGATGCCATCTGGGTTAAGAAAACCTTGCGGTCTGACTCAGCAGAGCACATAACCTAGACCTCAGAGTGGTAATGATGCCTACCTGAGTCCCAGGAGCAGAAACAGGACGTGGGGGAACGTGTGACATAGGCAAATGAAAGTCACCTGGGGCGCCACAGCCATTGCCAAGTGCTTGCGCGGAGGGTGGTGTGGTGGGTCATCGCCGTGCCGCCAAATGCCGGAGGGCAGGCAGGGCCAGCTGGGGTGGTCTTAGGGCTGGCTCCATGCTGCGACAGTGACTGCGGCCCGCAGGCGGGTTTCTCAGGGGCCAACTCCTGTCTTCAGAGCCACCTGAGGCGTGTGGTTCTCAGGTGAGAAAGCTGGGGTTCACAGGTGGAGGAACTTGCCCAGGACCCCAAAGCTCCCCTGTAAGAGCTTTCTCAGACTCCTGGCTGCATGCCTGAGAAGTCCTAGTTCCCTGGGAACCTTTGCATGGCGCTGTTCCCCTCCCTCTCCTGCCAAGGGGAGGTTTTGTGAATGCGAGTTCCGGGGCGAAGGGGAGAGGGCTCCTTCTTGCAGGGCCTCTTCATCTCTGGCTGCTGCCTCATAGCCAGGTCTCCCAGGAACGAGCCAGGAGGGGGAAGGAAGCCAAACGCGGTGGAGGCTTTTTGGGCTGAGCAGCGGCTCTCAGGCCTTTGCTCCTGACAGCTCCTGAGCAGAGCCAGCTTCACCTGTGTACAGCTTTCGGCTCCACCAGTCCTTGCTGGGTTTTTTCCCTTTTTTCTTTCTCACTTGTTGACTTTGCACAAAATGCAGGTTTCAAAGGGCCTGGAAATTGGGGAGCAAGAAAAATACGTTCCCTCCAAAAGAGGCAGTTTCACTTTTTCCAGATGGCAGTTCTGCACACTTCCTGGCTACAGCACATCTGCCCAGGTGTGCCGAGCAAAGGCGCCTCTCCAGGTGCTGCTGTGGGTTCCTACACCTTCCATCCTTGTGGGCCCCTCTCTGACTTGTTTTCTCTTGTTTTAGTTTCAGAGCATCTCCTTGCGGAAGATTCAGTTTAACTTCCCCTACTTCCGAAGTGACAGGTATGGGAACGTTAGGAATTGGTTCTTGGGAAAATACAAAACGATGCGGAGCGTGGTGGGCCACCCCTGTAATGTCAGTACTCTGGGAGGCTGAGGCAGGAGGATCACAGGTTTGAGCCCAGCTTGGGCAACTTATGAGGCTTAGCAAGAGTCAGTCTTCTTTTTTTTTTTGGTCTTTTTGAGACAGGGTTTCACTATGCACTCCAAGCTGGCCTTGAACTCACTTTGTAGCAGAGGCTGGCCTTGAAGTCACAGTGATCCTCCTGCCTCAGCCTCCTGAGTGCTGGGATTATAGTCATGCACCACTACGCCCAGGTAAGACTCAGTCTTAAAAAACAAAGAACAAATAAACCTAGGGATGTAGCTCATTGTGAAGGCCCTTGGTTCAGTTCCCAGTACCCCAAGGAGAAGAGTTAATGTACTTCCAGTCCGACCTGGTACTTGCTGTAGCTGGCTCCTAGTTGGCCCTGCTCAGCAGCCTGGATACAAAATCTGAGTGTCAAGAAGGTGTGGTGCAGGGAGATTTGCATTTCTCTTCTGAAAATAAGCAAAAGGGCCAAGTTGGCATCGTGACTTTGTCACTTCG